AACAAACTTCCTTTGTATGTAGAGTTCAGATTTCAACATGTAAATTACCATCGATTCTGAGATTTGAAAAAGTTTGATTCGTGCCTTTTTAGAGAGATTCCCACGAATTCTTCAGATGACTTTGAAGTTCCTTGTGAGTGGCTAATCCTGGTGTCCTTATTCGATCACGTGATCCAGGATACCGCTGGGTTGATATGGGCGATCTTTCTTCTCCTTTATAAAACCATGACTGTGGGTACGTTTTCGGTGATAAATGTGGCTAGCAAACGCTGATTGCAGCTGACATACCTAGCTCCAAAGCTGGAACAGGTAAATCGGTAGATTCACACTGATTAGCCGGCCAACAGTGATATCTTATCCTTCACGTTCATGCAAATCATTGGTTTCGTAGAGAAGGTCTGTCTGAGTTCACCCACGAAGAAGGTTTTCTTCAGTGCGTAGGACAAGCGGCTTATCAGTATTTCTACAGATAAGTCTCCACTGAATTCTATATTTAAATAAAGAAGTTCATTGGGAAGCAGAAAGTGTAGGTGGTTGAGCTGATTTAGGTTTCATAGATTTTGTGATGAAACATTCTAGGTAGGTATTTCTGAGTGTGATTCGCTTCAGAGTGTTTAGCCCTTCTTCCATAGTATCATGGCTGCAAATGCTGCGGGTTCTACTACTTCTTTGTACAAAAGACATTCATTTCAAATTTACGCACAAAACTGATGGGGTCACGATAGATTCCACTCTAAAACTGTTTTGACCGACATCTTCATGGCTTATCGCAAATAGACGTGTCTGAGTCCTAATATCAAAAAAAACCTACTGTAGCCAATATCTGTCTTGATGATATATTTGTTGTTTGAATCGAGCATCTTTATTATTTGACCGTCTCAATGAGATCCACCCAGAGATTAAATTCAACATGGAATATGAACACAACGATAAGTTCAATTTCCTAGATCTTAATGTAAGAAGAAGAAACGATTCTACGGTTGAAAAATACATCTAAAGAAAAGAAAATTGGGTCTGACAGTATCTTCACTACAACACAGCTTCTGTCCTATAATCTATAAACGCGGATTAGTGAGGACACTGTACAACACATTGTTGTATCAGGAAATTAAGTTCGCTTAACAAGCTGGAAGAAGAACTAAGCGTTATTAAGAAATGCCTGAGGGAAAATGGATATCCAAATGGATTTATCCAAAAGCATAGGAAAGAGAAGGACGAGAGAAAGAAACATTCAACTGTTGAAGTGAAGGAAGTGTTCACTTTGTCTCCTATTCAAGGGAGAGGCAGTGTCACTGGAGATCGACAACAAAATGAAAGGAGATATGAAATGATGTTTCCCTGCAGCTAAGCTCGTTATCCTATACAGCATCGCATGCTCTTTTCTACAAATTTTGTCTTTCTCTCTTAATCACAATTTATCCAGAGCGAACCAAGTGTTTGTAATTCGGCATTATTTGAACAGACATTAAGACTGAAACATTACTGCACGTCACCGTTATGTTTATTATCTAAAGTACCAGTGGTATTGTCTAACTTTCCCAGACTTAGTATGCAAAGGCAAACGCATATAACTATGTATATATTCGCAAACATCTGACCTTATTCTATAATCGGATGATAAACTCACTAGGTTCAAAACTACGCTAGTTGACAGCTGCCAACAGTACAAAAATAATAGACATCCAGTAAATATTCTGTTATCTAAGCAACACAGAGAAAATCTAAGAGAACTTAGAAGTAATGTAAGCCCATTATTAGCAAGCCGGATAAAGGTGACGGTTTAATTTTACTGGATAAAAGTGATTACGTTGAGAAAATGGAAGGTATTTTGAATTATCAGACTAAATTAAAATCTCTTGGTAGTTCCAACGACCTCATTGTAAAAGTGGAGAAACTAATGACCGGCTCTCTCAAAAAACTGGACCATAAAGGAGTATTATCATCAGTCACGTATGAGTCCAACGGGTACCAATACTCTACGTCTCTATGGTTTACCTAAAGTTCACGAACCGGGTCTTCCTCTTTGCCCTGTTTTAGATATGTTTAACTCTCCATTTCACGGAACAGCAAAGTGGTTAGTGAAGATTCTGGGACCTTTCCACAAAGAAATTGTGCGACATAGAATCAGTGATGTCTTCGACTTAACTCCTACAATATCTCAGACTAATGTTGGGGATAAACGTTTGTTATCTTCGGATTTATCATCACTATTCATGAATGTACCACTTACCGAAAAGGTAGATTATATTTACCAAAAAATCACCGAAAGGCAAATTGACTTAGGAATTCCCTTGTATAGCCTCAAAGAATTAATCCGTAAATGCACAATGAATGTGCATTTTGTCTGCAATAATTCATACTACCGACAAGTAGACAGAATAGCTATAGATTCACCATTAGGCCAAATATTAGCTGACTTCTTCCTCACTAAACTTGAAAACAGCAGAATGAAAGACATCACCAAGGAGTTTGATATGTATTACTGTTATGTCGGTGACAAATTTATCTTAGTTGATGGGAAGGCAAACATAGACGAATTGCCAGTGAAATTCAACAACATCCACCTTTCGCCTACTTTCACTTGTGAAGAGGAGCTGGATAATAAACTGCATTTCCTGGATGTCTTGCTAAGTAGGCGAGAAGATGAGTCAGTCGGGAGAAGCGTTTACAGAAAGAGCACATTCACAGGGTAACACACAGAATTCCTTAGTTACGTGTCCATTAAATATAAAAGAAATGCTTTTAAGTGTCTTACGAGCAGAGCAAGAAAGATATGTACGGATGACCACATGCAAAATGAATTTGACGGAGATAAGCTATCAAATTAGTTTCGTAGAGAAACATATGAAAACATTGGAGAGAAAACCTGAGACGATGAGTGAACGTAAAAAACCTCCATTTATTAAGTTACAATTTAATGGCGACTTATCAAGTGAGATTTTATTCCAGAGACTTTCCAGGAGTATACGAAGAACTTTTCACGCAGCATACCTATGTTTGTCATTCTCTAGCCGACGAATGATTGGGACTCAAAAGAAGAATAAGCAAGATAGTTTTGCTACATCTTTGTGTATTTATCAATTCAACTCCACGTGTGGTGACAGTTATGTTGGGCACACCACTACTAGACAGCTTAGCCAACGTGTCACTACTGAACATCTCCCATCGTGGTTTGGCAAAGGACGGAAAAAAAGAAAGCATTCAAAGTAACTCATCGTATTCCACTGAATCTTTCCAATAGACTTCGTATTCGTCTACCGCACACAAGTGAGGCAATAGGAATTCGAACAACTAAGCCTAAACTATACTCATTCAAAAGAAGTTAGTACAGCCATTATCCTTCCTTTGTTGGCCTATTAAGACCTAACAAAACTGATGACTTCTCCACCACTCCTTACTTATATTTTCAATCCCTCTCTTATCATCCCTTAGTCTTATCACATTTTCATTAAAAACGTTTTGCATTTACTTACCTTACAATCTAGCATTACTTAATCGGTCTATTTGTTTTTCTTAGCCTTTATCGACTCCTGCGTCTACCTGAACATTTGTTTGTTTAATCATGCTGTTTTTCATCAATATTCTTGTTATCACACATCACCTCACTTTTTCATCCTTGTTACTGATAGAACCATTATTATCATTATTGTTATCATTACTACTATTATGACTATTTGCACAATTAATATGCACAATCTTATTATCCTATTGACAAAACCCCATGATTGGTTTATTTCGTGCTTACAACCGGCTATGCATCGGCCGGGCAAAATGAAACCCCGACCATGTGAATAGTTGGTGAGTATCCTTCTGTTAAACCACCCATACACCAAAGTAACAATGCTCTATGCTCTTTGATGACTGACTCTCTGACTACTTCATTCTAAGGCACACTTTTTTATTTGCCTTTTATTGTAGGATCTGAAGAAGGATCCCTATTTGCAAACTATTACTGCAGAAACTACTCAAGGTGACAATAGTTTTTTGGTAAGTTCAATCATTTCCATTGATTTTGATTTTTGTATATGGCGGTTGTTTTACTAGAATAATATAAATTCCTCAGAGTAGTCAGATTTCAGTAAATTAAAAATCCCCATAGTATTATCAAAACAAGATCAATTGCAGAGAACAGTTTGCTTTCGATGAATCTCTTCCTCAGGCTCTACACTTATTAATCCATGATTCCATTAGAAGACGAATAGCCATCATTAAAGACATGTGTGAAAATTGTATCAGAAACTGTCTGTATTGTACATGTCTGTACACGTATATAATATGGAGTGATAGTTCGTTAGTTAATATTGTCCAATTAAGGTACATAAAAATGTGCAGTCATTCAGAAAAGAACACAAGATAAAGTATGAATCTAGACAAATAGGAGATATACTAATGTTTTTTTATAGCTGACAGGATATAAGTTTCTTTTTTGATTGCACACTAGTCAGTAACTAGCGTAATGCGTCTAGTACTATCTTCGCTGCAGACTGAATTCTATCAGTCATGTTTGCAATGTGGCCACCATGCTAGGTGGCTCGCCATTACGGTGCACTGTGAAGTGTTGGTAATAGATGGTTGGAGGCAATCGGCAGGAAGCCTTGGACCTAGGTTTCGTGCTAGTTAGCACTCATCAGCAAGGCGTATCTGCAACCTTGAAGGAACTGATGTCCTTTCTGAGATTCGAACCCGCGTCACCCAATGCTGCAGTCAGAGAGGTTACCATTGGTGTGTGAGTTATCTCCAATGGTGTATGAGGAAAATGACTATCACAAAATGCATAGAAACAAATACCAACAACAAATGGGGAACACTGAATGTAAGTAAGTTCGAGTAAGGGTTGACAAATAACAAGTGTAGTGATAAAAGATAAGGCGGTTAGATTGCGAACTGTAATAAAATACTAGAGGCATAATAAGCTTAATGTAAATTACAAAAGGTCAAATTACATAATAAAGGTAATAATGGAGTAAAGTGAACTAGGTGAAAAGGAATAAGATTATTAGGACTCGCTTAGCAGGAAGCTATAAACTTAAGTTTCGAGGACTGTCCCCCAAAAAGTTGTTTTGAGTCACAATTGACCTGCTGTCATACTAAACTGCGTAAACGAATTCGTGGCAGGTCAATGTTTCACCACAGACTACCTAATTCACCCTAAAGTCAACACTGAAGATGTTCAGAAGTACATTGGAAGTTTTGCATTGAAATTAGCCAGCTTAGAGAACACAACGACACAGAAAACATCTATCTGTGCTAGAAATCTTCTTCACTAATATTGACTATTTATGATTCAGCTGTATAGGAAAAGAGTCAGCAGTCTTCAACACTGTTGAAACAGGGGTCAGGAGATCCCTAGTATGTGGTATACAGACATAATTTTCTAGATGTACTTTTTCGTGTGTCTGGTTGTATTTCTCTCACCCAACTTATGAACTTAGCAGTCCAAGTGGTTATTGACTGTTTTAATGTATCAATGTAATTAGTCCCTTCCAAGGTCATTTAACCCATATATATATATATATATATATATATATATATATATATATATATGCAAGCGCTGTGAGACATTTTCACTGGTGATATGAGACGGTTACAAATCACTACGTCAAAAGTCAGTCTTCTCTTCCTGTCTTCTTGCGTCACGTTTTCTATGGTATCGTATCCTGTTGTTATTGTTGTTGTCGCTAATAGTGGTTGGAACAACAGGCTCGCGACTCAACTAGGTAGGAAATTCGTTGGCTCAAGATCCCAAGTGTATTAATGGTCATATCAAAATTGGCGATGAGTGCATCTCAGTAGTACACCGTCTGAATGACCTAGAAGAATATGAATTTAGAAAGACAAAAGGCTTGTCATGACATGATAAGTTGTTTTTTTTTGGTGATATTAATACACACTCATGGAGGAAAAAGGAAATGTTAAATAATGGAATTAAAGAAAATAAATCAATGAAAATAGATAGATAAAAGATCAATACCTTTGGTCAGATAAGAATAATTTATATTTACTGCCACCTGAAGACTACAAACAAACCATCTGTTCCCATGACAACATCGTTAATCACCTGTTAGATAGCATAAGGTTACTACTTTTAAAATGCAATTTGGAGACACAAAAAAGTCAGAAAACTTTTAATTACTTTGTGACAGTTAGTAGACAGCTATAGCACATAATATGCCTATATTATAATACAAATCAAAAGCGAATATATCAACTATTAAGTTAATAATTTCAATTGATAGAATCTCGTCACGATGAACAAACATCAGTTAGAGAAGAGATGTGATCGAGAACTAGTAAGAAGCACTGGACAACTGTTTTCTAGGACTTTTCAGCCCAGCGCATAATCATGACCCTAACAGTGGAAGAACCCTGAACATTCAGATTACGAAACTATTCGGTCACTTTGGGGGCTGGAATTCAGTCACCCTTGAATTCTAAATTTTTCAACCCATGACATAGCGCTGCCGTCACCAATGCCTTCAGTGAGTATCCAGTTCACCTTGACATGGTGGACGCCATTGGTCAAGACTTCTTGTTGAAGCTTCAGCACAATCATTCAGTAGTCATCGGTGAGCTAAGGATTGATATTTAGGTTGTGGGGATTTATGGGGATTCAGTTTAATATTAATTTCAGTTGCATACTGGTGAACAGCCCAAAATGGGACGAAACAGCAGTTCCGAATACTCCCCGGTTTTCACTTATCTCTCTCTCTAAGTAACTAACGTTCCTTCATGCCAAAGTCCCTCGGGTTCCAAGAGGAACATAGGGCTTCAACAGAACATCTACAGTTTGTCCCGTCATCTGTGGTCCTCCCTACCTGACCCACGATTTCCCATAATTTCTCATCGCCTCCCCATACGATCTCCTCCTTCATGTTAATCATCAGACACACCCAACTTATCGCTTTCCATTGGCTTATACTCGAGCGATGGCCTGGAGGGCGATGTCACCCAGTAGTGTCCTCAGTGTATGGCCTAGCTATCTCCATTTTCTTCCACATATCTCCTGAGCAAAAGGTTCTTCATTGCTTCGTTCATTGCCAGAGTACCTTGTTTGTAATTCTTTCCATAGGCCATCTGATCCCAAGTATCGAGTCAGCGAAGATTATGAAATTCTGCAGTAGCCTGTTACAAATGATTTTCGTGATGCATGAGAAAAATTTCTGACTCATCAGTAACTGACTCAGCATTGGTGTTGAAAAACTGAATTTCGCTATTTATGCTGAGTGAAGAAAATTTCCACACAGATTTGACGGTGATGAAGGCATTTCTTGCCTTTTCGATTCTGGATGATTTTAACATCCTCATATGTGTCAGATGTGGGTAGTTGTATTAATAGTACCTAGGTAAGTGAAGGAAGTGACCTCTTACAAATTTCTTCAGTTGATACTGATTGGTTGTGGTTGTTGCTACTATTGTTGGTCGGTTGGTTATCTTCATCACCTCCGTCTTCTCTGTGTCCACCTGAAGTCCTGTGTTTGCTGATTCTTCTATCAGTCAGCTTGTTGGTTTTCTTGCCCCGAAGATATTCCAGTTCAGATCTTCTAGAGCCTTCTTATCGATCTTATGTATTACTTCCGAGTCACTTCCTACAGTCTGAAACATAATCCAGTCCAGCAGAATTAGAAATATCACCACTAGTCATAGTAGAAGGCCTTGTCTTAATCTTGTATTTACTTCAAACGCTTCGTTGAGTTTTCCATTGTCGACCACTCGACATGTGCCTACATCATAATGCAGCTGTTGAACAAGGTTGATAGAGATTTGGAGCATCTCACTCCGTCGTGTTGAAGAAGTTTTCAACACTACCGACGACTTCCTCAACGTTGATGAAATTCAGGTATAGGTTCGACTGCACTCTTCGACGATGTGGTGATTCGTAGAGTTGCAATTTGATCAGTACATGATTTGCTTTTCCAAAATCCAACTTATTCCGGTGGGGCTAGCGGAGTTCTGCATCCAGTGTATAGTGTAGTATTTTACTTGGTATGGACTGCAGGATGATCCCACTGCCAGTTCTTGCAGAGGCTAAAGTCGTGCTTCTTTGGCACTTTAGCAAATGAGCCTTTCTCCATTTAATCTGAAATTAATAATTGGTTGGACACCTTTTTCATCAGAATTAGGTATTTGAAGTGCGACAGTCAAAAACATGGTTATCGTTTATTTTTTGTGGCTCATATACATATATATATATATGTTTGTATGTGATCTGACAAAGTCAGCCGGTAGTGACCTGGTCTTGTGATGAAATAATAAAATACACATGCTAACATCAAAAATTAACTGATATTACATAACCCAAGCACGTGTTTTACATTGATGTGCAGGATTGTTTCTGTTTTTATTTCTGCCTACATTTAAGTTGCCCTAATCGCAAATTACACAGAAATGGTGTAGGCTGTTTCCACAACTGACTACAACAGACAGTATGAATCGATTGAATGAAGCATAGGATTACACTGGATATGTCTATGTTCAGCACTACGAATAATAATAGTAGTATTTATACGAGAAATGAACAATATATTAATTTTTCACAAAAAATTCTCTTTTATTGAATTTGACCAGAGAAATAACTTGGATCCATTTACGTTTCGTCGCCTCTCATCACCTGCACACTACCTATAATCTTTAACTAATAAAAGTTAGAGTAAAATCTAACGAGCATATTAAAAGAGTGTCACAATGAGGTAAAACATCAGAACGACAAGGTAGCTGAAGTGTAAGTATGTACATATATATATATATATATATATATATATATATCTTGTTGGAGAGAAGTTTCTAGAAAATGAATTGACAAGTTTGTCGTTAGGGTGCTAACAAAAGCTAGTGACGATGACATAGCTAGATAAGGGGAGGTTAAAATTTGGTGTGCGAGAGATCAGATGAGAAGATGATGATGTGATATGGCGATTAGAAGTCACAAGGTGAGGAAAAGTTATCCCTTATAGAATTCAAACAGAAAAACACACGAGGGGGGGAGCACTGAAACGATAAGTTAGTGAAGTTAGAAGACTAAGAGTTATTTAGGGATGAGTCACGAGGATAATTCGAGTCCAGCGACAGATTCCCTCTAGACACATAGGTCAGGTTTTGGCCATTTTATTGAGATAGCCTCGACAAACCGGTAGAAGAATTAAGCTATTTCGTCTGTTAATTATTTCGAATGATGCCAGTGTGTCTGTCTACTTGGTGTCCAGTGTCTATCAGGTGTTTGGTAATTGAAGAGCTTAAACTGATTGGCGCCTTTAACAGGAAACTGCTTGGTACATGTTCGAAGAATCTGACGTAGGCCCTTCTTTCTTTTCTTCCAACAGAACTGATCTCGGAGATACATGTGAATTTGTATACACAGTTTGCGGTAATATGTGAGGGGTCCATGTCGACTGTTGTTGACTGCACCAGTAAGGAGGAAGTTTGGAGTAGAGAGACTAGTTTAGCTGTAGGATATGTCGTGGACAGGGCTGCGCTTAATCTTTTATTTATGATTCTCATAATATTATCTCATAGTATCCCTTAATAACTCTTGGTCTTCTAAACTCATAAACTTATCAATTCATCGCCTCGCAACACTCGCCTCACCTCGTTTTTTTTCTGTTTGAGATAACTCTTCATCATCTTATGAGTTCTACTCACCATATCACATCATCAGCATCATCACCTTTTCATCCGACCTCTCGCACACCAAATTTTGATCTCATCTTACCCAACTATGTTATTGTTACCGATTTATTTTTGTTGCCACCTTAACAGCAAACTTGTCAATTCATTTTCTAGAAACTTCACTCCAACAACATATATATATACTTACACTTCAGCTACCTTGTCGTTCTGATGTTCTACCTCACCATGACACTCTTATAATTTGCTCGTTAGATTTTACTCTAACTTTTATTTATTAGAGATTATGGGTAGTGTGCAGCTGATGAGAAGTATCTAAACGTAAATGGATCCAATTTATTCTGCCTCTATGTTTGTTCTTTCTCTGCTCAAATATATTAACTGTTCTAGTTTAAAATTATTTCAAGTATCTCTAACTACCATCTCATACTTGTTAACTGGCTTTCAATCTACCTGAATGTAATCCTCTCCACATTATTATTCCAACGCCCCATCCATCGCCTCCCTCTTTGTCCTCCTCTCTCAATCACCTTCCACTCGAGGACCTATTGAGCTTGTGATGCCATTTGAATACCGCCTCATCGTGTAAGTTCAATCCATTCTCCACTTCTTTCTGCATAAATTCCCCGTTGGAAAGATTAAAAACAAGACGGTGGCAGAGAAAGAAAGTTTCTTTTCGACGAAATCGTCAACTAGGCTGTAAATTCGTTTATTTATAGATTAAAGTGGTGAGAAAGTTGCAGAACTATCTCCGGCCAAGGGTCAAATCAGCAAGGTTACAAATACGGATCAAAAAGGCAATAATAACAAAATGAATAGGAGCATTGGAGGGAAAACTGAATAGGATAATCGTTATTTGGGAAAAATGACTGTTTATGATGGCTGTGTACACAAAGATTGGACGTATTTCTTTTCAACACATAGTATGGGCTTGAACGTTTAGACCACTAGTGTCTCAGATATGTACAGTTGTTTTCAACTGCCTCCCTTTGAGAGATATAACTGGTTCTTTTTCTGGAATTTTAAAATAGAGCTGACAGTCCTGAGTTCACCAGGTGTCCCGTTTTCGAGCTATGCACATACCTAGCTTGTCCGGTTGCTAGCCAGGCTAGATAGTTTTCCCGAGTGTGTGATTTACAGGCGGACGTATGGTGCGGCCATTGTTCTACAAGGCTCCACAAGAGCAAGTGAACTGATATATGCATGTTGAAGTGGCCCATTGTGACAATTCCTCTTTCATTTAGTACTGGTCGAATACTTTATTGCAAGAAAATGTCACTCGTAAGCTGGCGTTGAAATGTGTTTTACTGAGAGATTTCGAAAGCTGTTTTCAGAGAATTTCTGTTTCAGTATCACCTGTAAACTCGGGATTAAGCAGTGACATCTATTTAATGACCACCTACCTGAACCTGCTCAGTAGACGTTTTTGGCTTTAGATTTTAGTCTATGAATCTGGAGATTTCGGTTTCAGATTTGATTACGGACTGATATCAGTTGGAGAACCATCGAAAACCAGTCATTACTCAACAGGGTTGTTCCATCATAGTTTGGGACTCTATAACAGCACTGACCCATAACATCAAAGGAAGTCTAAACCAGGACCCACAGTTTACGAAACGAATCATTTGACAGCTAAACCACTAGGAGTATATCTAACAGTCCATGAATTCTAACTACCTACAATTCATGATGCTTCACACCACCGTCAGCCAATATCTTCATACACGACTTGGAGAAATGACTGATTGACTGATTTCAACATAGAACTTTCCACAGAAGTCCACCATTTCGAGTTGGTTTACTCCCTCCATGTACCACAAAAAGGAGGACAAAGTGGAGAAAAGAGAGATTCAAAAGGACGATAATAAGCAGAAATGTGAGGAAGAAAGAAAGAATAGTAATATCGAAAACCAGTTACGTTTAAGCGACAGAGTAGAGTACAGAGAACGATTTACAGCCATATCACTAATTGTATCGATTGATTGGTTGTTCTTAGAATCTCAAGGACCCCAACCAATCAGTCACTCTACACCTACCTACCTCTACACCAAACTAACTGTTAAAGATTCCATGGGTTTATTTCAAGTTTTAGTTTGCCAACCATGTGCTAACTATTTTCCAACCTCATCCATCCTATGTAAGTCAGCTAACATCGCCCGTCTGTAGAGGAAGGCAATGGCTAGGCATGCATTCATAACACAAGTCCTAACCATCTATCTCAGTCGGTGTAACTGCTTCACAACCTCACCGGTTGATTTCCCCTCTTCCTTCCTTACCTAACACTCGACTGACTGGTGCCTCACTTCAGTATTTCTTACCCTATTATATCATCACCTAACATGGGAGATAGAAGGCAGGCACTTATAATCAAAGACGGCTAACAAGGATTTTCACGTCTTCCACTCTCAATGGGCATGTCTCACAGCCAGCCAGAAGTAAAAGAGAACGGAGTGAACTGTCACTGAGCAGTATATACGTCCTTCGGTCGCCAGCCAGTTGGATAACACGTCTACTAAGCCAGAGATGGTGTAAGTTGACTAAAAAAATACCAAACGAGTCTGCCCTATTTTGTCAGCTTCTTCACCTAGGAGAAAAGACTATATCATCTGCATGCTCTAAGTCAACGAGATTATTCTCTGGTGGTAAAAAGTCAGTCCCTGAGTTGCTGAAGTCAGTTAGAGTTAAGTCCATTAATATATCTATGGTAAAATTAAAGAGAAAAGGGGACAGTGAACAACCCTGACGGACACCACTGATTGTTATCACAGTTGTCAGATGACAACTTTCCGTAGGCTCTGAACTGGCTAGCTGACTTCATGAGTTAGAATAAAGTGCGATTTATTTTCTCGGCATCCCCCCGACAAACAAACACCGCCATAGTACCTGTCGGTGGATACAATCGAATATCACTTTCAGGTCAAGAAATATGACAATCATTGGACGCTGACAGTAAGTGTACCTATGTTCCAGAATCTGTCGAGGGATGAAGATACGATCGATCAATACACCCTCTTCCTGGTCTAAGGCCTGCCTGGTTCTCTCTCGCGTTTGTTTCTCCCGAGAAGAATGCCATTTCACAGCATTTTAATAACAATGTTAACAGCAGTCAAATTATGCTCAAATTATATTTCTGTGCTTCACCCTTCTCTGTGTATTATTGCATTTCATTTTCTCTTCCCCCTTTTTCTGATTAATTCAGAGAAAATTTATCGAGAAGTCCAGTGAATTATCAACTAAAAATGCAGTTAAGCGCATAAAACACCATCATACATTTTGTCATCCAACTACAACGTTTCAATTAGGCGATGATGAGACAGTTGGTAATTTCAACAATGCAACTAGAAATAGAAACACTACTACCTCTAGTAGTGTTGCTGGTGGTGGTGGTGGTGGAGGTGGTGGTGGCGGCGGTGCTAACGGTACTCTCGCCAATCATCATTACCATATTAACAGTAACACCTATCACTCAGATGACAACCGGGCCAGCAATAGGAATTCAGATGTCTATCGAGTGAAACTGTTGAACAGATTGGCTTTCGAAGTAAATCCCCCAACGACTATACCTGAAGTGAGTGTTCTTACCTACCCACCTTCTCTTTGTGTTTTTTTGATGTTTCATACAAAATAAAAACTATACTGATGTGAGTTTCATTAGAAATTTTTAAAAGTGAGAAAAAGGATTCAAATGGGGGAATAATTGCCTTTCAATTAGATCTCATACTCGATAATTTTAAAATAATACGAGGAATTTTACCAATTATCCAGTCGGGGTGGTGGTGACGATGATGATAAGTTTGTTGTTAACAATAATTAGTCAGGATTTCATCATAAAATGAAATTGGCTGGTTAGAGGACCATTAGAAAACCAGCTGGGAGTACTGGACAGCAGTACGCGCCCACTGAGGTTCAGGTAGATAGTTACCTGGATCATAGTGGGAAGTTGTGACCAGTGGGTTACAGTAGGTCGGGTGTGAGGGCGAATACTCGCCACCGATAACACTGGCCAGTGCCAGTCTCGATATATCGTGCGTGAATTGGCAGAAGTTGGAATGGCAGGTCCCAGTGGCTTAATGGTCTACGAGCTCGCTCGCCTTGTAACCAGAAGGTCCTGAATTCTACCCCCAGTGGGGTAGAAGCGTCCCAAACTAAGATAACTGAAACAGTTGTCCAGTACTCTCAGCTGGTTTTTCAATGGTTCTCTAACCGATGTCATCTCATGATGAAATCCTGTATATCAATATTATCGCTACGAATAGATCTTGTTTATCCCTTGCTCAACCACTATGCAAGATGATGTTCGGAAATAGGATGATGAACCTGCCTAACTCTATGTTCAACATAACTAGCTCCACAAGAACAGTGACAGTGGTAGATGCACACACAGGGGGAGGCGAAATTAGGTAGTTTGTCCTTATTTCTCGAACGGAAAATTACCACCTCTGCTGCATTGAAAGCTGTTTTAACTGCATTCTTCAGGTGTTCGCTGTGTTACTATTTCACTGATAAACGAAAATGTGATGCATAAATGTATGATCGCCGAATTGTATAACCACTCAGAAAAACGGCGTAGTGTAAATCCTGAAACTGGTTTGGTGCCTGCAGTGATAATGATACACTATTGAATTAAGTCGAATCCTCATCTCTGGCTCTACTCTAATATACACACATAACGTTTTTAATACAATATGACCTGTGGGGTAAAGCAGGTGTGAGGGTATACCCGGCTGACAACTGCTACCTTGTTGTAGTGGTCAGGCTTGAATACCGCCGTGATCCAACAGGCTACACTAGCTGGGACTTATGATCCTACAGATTCCACCATGCCAGGAAGGTTTTTTGGAAAGCGCATAAGCTGAAAGTAGTTACTACTAGGTACATAGGCTCCAGAATCCGAACGAGATTGAATAGCATACGAACTTGTATTGGTCACTGGCAACCATGGGAACGTAGCTGTTGATGCTGCTCCGCTGCCTTGAGGATGAGACTCAAAGAGTCAAACAGTCTGGGGAGGGTCTCTTAAGACAATCACCTGCTTCTCTCTGGGTGACCGGGCAGTATCCCAATCCTTGCAATAACAATGAAGCAACAAATGATGATGTTATGAACTCGTCGCCAATATGTTATGGTGTCGTTGCCAATATAATGGTCTGACTGAGTGTAAATATGCACTAATGTGATATTACGGACGATAACGTACAGACTGGTATTACTGAATAGTTGATTTGTCCTAACGCGAAGAGGCAAATCAGAAGACCACCACGTTCACGAAGATATGTGTATTTCCCAACAAGGGAAAAATTAACTGTCACACAAGAGTGTGAGTGAAAAAGTACGAAAGTGTACGAAAGGTGTAAAAGTGTGAATTAATTATACAATAGAAGAATAGAAAATATAGAAAATAACTAACACACATAAACCAATAAGACAGATAGTAGTTTTTCTTACCACCAACTGGATTCTGATTGGTTGTAATGTCATGTGACAAAAGGTCATACAATGTTTATTTAGTTAATGGATGGACGAAATATATTGTGAGTTATAACGATCAATATACATGTAGGAAGATATGCCAGAGTGTCAAAACAAAGCAGACATCATGTGACGACTACATATCAGATGAGGATCGGGTTCCAGTGTTTGACTGGTCTACTAGCTTGTTAGGCTTGTAACAGGAAGGTCCTGGGTTCGAACCTCAAAAGGTATGTACCCGCGAGGAGTCCCAGACTAGGACGAAACATATGTCCAGTACTCTCGGCTGCTTTTCCAATAGTTCTCTAACCGGTGTTAGCTCATGATGAAATCCTGTAAATTAATATTAGTTAGAATCTGATAATTAACTCTCAATGCTGTATTAATATCAACTTTATGCTCATTGTCTACGAGGTGTACTAAAACAGAACTACGAATAGATCTTGTTTGTCCCTTGCTCAACCACTATGCAAGATGATGTTCGGAAATAGGATGATGAACCTGCCTAACTGTATGTCCAATATAACTAGCTCCACAGGAACAGTGGCACTGGTCGATACGCATAGAGGAGTAGTAGGTGGTGGAGGCGAAATTAGGTAGTTTGTCCTTATTTCTCGCCTGTGAAATTGGATTTTTTGTGAAGAGAGACACCCTGCGTTTGCTGCACTGAATGCTTTTTCAACTGCATTCTTAAGGTCCTCGCTGATGTTATGACGAAGAAACTGTAGTTTTATGAACAAGGTGTCTTTTGGAGCTGTCGCGTTACTGACTACTTTCCTTGGCCTTGGTGCTAAATTCATATTTTTTCTCAATGAACATATCTGGATAACCATTTCTACGAAGTAATTCTCTGATGTACATATTAGAGTAGAGTCAGAGATGGGGATCTAATTGAAAAGTGAATATTTCTTCGTCTCAATCCTTTTGTCTTCCAAATATCTAAATGGGAATTTTTCCTTTTCTTCTATTATCTGAGTAGCTTGTTAAACGATGAGCAGTAGTGAATATTAATTTACTTGTTCAGGGTAAAACTAGGTGTTCTACTATTTAACAATTTCAATAAAACTATTATTATTATTACTGTTGTGAGTGAGACTCATTAACTGCAAAAGAAACAATGAAATAAGATGCAGCGGACTGCAGAAAATGCCCCAATGTCAGGGTATTAATTACCACCATGCGATGTGGATCCGACAATACTACTAGCAGTGACTCAGATGTCCTCATTTATTAAAAGACTTTGAAACTCCCTCACTGGAGTACGTAAATATTGCATTAGTAACCTTTCCTTTCCCTCCACCCTGCTGCACTAGCCAAGTTGGTAAGTCTCATATTACCAGCTACCAAACTTTATACATAAAACAGTCAGGGAACAATTGTGTGGACATATATTTCTTTCCCAAGGAAATTGATCTAACACAGTGTACAGTATGGTATAATTGAATGAGGAAGTGGTTTCCTATCTAACCACAAATTGTGGACAGAATCAAGACGCGAAAACATGTCCCAGTAAGGCTAAATAGAGGTGTAGCGAAAACCATCAACAGCTTGATATTAGACCACCTGGTCCAAACCCGCCACAAAGACAGCCAGCAGTGAAGAATCCTTCTCCATCACCACCTATCGGGTGCCAAACAAATTGCCAAAAACATCCAGATACCGCATACTGCAGTCAGTAGAGGCTATTGTAATCCGTCTGAAACAACCACAGCTTTGTGTGTAGAAGAAACAGGTCCATCCAGCCACTACTACTAGCTTGGCCGGCCTTCAGTGGAGACTATAAATTCATGAATTCGTACTGATATCTTTTCAAGTTTCTCTGATATTCATTCAGTGTGTAGTGTCATGTTGATGCTATGGAAGTGCAATCTATTGATATCATTATTATTGTTATTATTGACTCGATGTTATTTAAACAACATTAATGTGGCTAATAACACTTAATTCATTCACTACTATCGAAGGATGCATACATAACTGTAGAACTTGATGATGAAGTTATCGAAAATGTGAATATTCTTTGTTCAGTAACCATTCTTTTGAAAAAAATTTTATTCGGCATTTTCTTTAATATCTCTGAAATACACTGATTTCGATCAGCCAGCTTGTGAAGGGTTATTTTCTGTATGATTTTATCATTTGAAGATTTAAAACCAAACACTTTATTTATTCAAATTTTCTTTTTTTTTAAAAAAAAACAGAATCCTCAGATCAATGATGCTAATCTATCACCACTGATTGGAAAAAGTAAATACAAAAGACTTCATGCAGAAATAATGGATTTACACTCAGGGAAAAATCAAAAAGCTGAACCCAGTCTACGAAGTAAGTTCATAACTTTATTATTTTTAAGTAATAGTAGGACTTTGAATCTGTGATAGTCTGGCCAATCTATAAGTAATGTAGGTGTAGAACTTGGGCACTGTGGTAGAATGTGTAATTCCACATTAGATAAGTTTATACTAAATATCATACATCACAGTGATGATGATGATGCAGTATTGACAACTGGATGACGATTCAAGCACAATTTATCGCTCATAATCATATCAATTCTAGTCATACGGTTTCATAATTTGTCTTATACGTATGTTTTCTCCCTCTATTCTGTCTCTCCAACTTTTCATATCTTCGATATAGGCGCCATTGCGTCATTCCGATTGCTGCACGTGTGCGGTGTTGAATCGATCAGTGATTAACCTTTCTCTCTCTCGCTCCACCTAACTACCAATATTGTTTTTGAGTACTCTCACCCTGTTCCACACACCCTATTGGGTGTATGATTACATACAAGTGGATGCTGTGGAGTGGGGTCGAGCTCTGTTTTTTATCTAGGCTATTCAGCCTAATTAGCAGGATCAATCAGACTAGATCTAACTAAATTTTCACGTCCAATAATCTAGTTGACCCCTCCCTATCTACTAGTTTGATCTAAGTAATTGACCTGACTCACAGTCAGCCAGCATTACATGGCATTCGGTAAATTGTATTACACATTTTCTTAATTGGATTTGTTGGGTGCTTAAGCCGACATACAAATTTTATCTGTGAGTGACTTGGTTGGTTGGTTTAAATGTCACCCCGACTAATTCCAGCCTCATTGAGAATCCTGCGTAAGGCCTCTGACTTTCCTTCTTTATTCAGCAGTACTACAGAGGCTTTGAACTCTGTATTATTTTCGTCATCTCCATTATTAATCTTTCTTTTTCTATGGTTCTTCATATATTTTTGAATACATTCTGATGGGAAGTGTGTTATTCACTAGTAATATTTCCTTTATTTGTTTGATTTCATTATTTAAATCTTCTGGCTGACTACTAGTTAGGCGCTTGACCCGATTATATAGACTTTTAACTAAACCTATCTTACTTGACGGATTGTGAATGGGATGAATTAAAGTCTAAATATTTATTAGAGCGTGTGTGTGTGTGTCGGTTTCCTATAAACACCAGCAAGTATCTAACCTACCATCTTGTTTTCGTTTGCATTCTACAGTCTAGCATGACCAACTCACCGTGTTCGTTCTCTAACTCAGAAGAGAATGGGATTCCGTCTACTGCTGAGTTTAAGTGTGAAAAACTGGTAACATTCGGTCTCTATTGTTGCAGTTTGTTAATTCTTGTATTCTGCCTATCCTTCTTTACTGCTCCCCTAGCTTAATCTCTCCTGGGTTGCTACTTAAGAAAGAATTTGTTTGTTATACTGCGAAAAGCACTAAAAGTCGTGTTGCTAAACCAGCTCGTTAATACTATTGTAGATAGACATTTGAAATCCTTTAGGAAATTAGCAAATATTAACTCTTGTCAGACTCAGAACATACTCTCCATATACATCTCTCTCCTTGCATCTATCTCATCTGATGATAGGGGAACTAGAAGCAACTTTAGACGACTGTATGCCCGGACGACTAAGTACAAAAACTCTACAATACCTTATTTAGCCGGCCGGGGCGCATTTCATGTGATGAGGAAAGTGCAAGGCAGGATACTGAGGAACTTTAAATATATGGCCCCGTTTTTTGTTACTCACTATTACATTGTTGTCAATATTGTCACCTAATTTAATTTTATATTCATTTCTTATTGAACAATATTATAAGTGTAAATTATTATTACTGTAAATACCCTATTTTAATCATTGCCCCTGTAAGGAGAGAGTTAAATGCCATATTGTATTACATGCTGAAAATTCCGTATTTGTACCAAAAGTGCTGTTTGGAATAAGGCTATTATTATTAATACGCATCCATATAAACAATAACACTCATTCCTCCCAACAACTGAATGACGGTATTCCATCTTCTAGGATGTTATCTGAGCTGGATGGTTTGGTTGCCAAGCTTTCATTGCTCTACTGAGCAACATCTTCAGCGCATACTTCGATGTGAAGTGAGCTTTTAGAATTCTCTATGAGTTTATTAGTCATCTCTTCTAGTAACCCTGAACGTGATTGTTTGTTTTCGTGTGACATTTCACCATCTAGTTTGCGTCGGTGGCACAGTGGTTAGGACTCTCGCCGACCATGCACATGGTCCGGGGTTCGATACCCTGCCGGCGCACACCCGATTCCATACATGTACTGAAAATACGGTGTGGAATCAAGATGTAATCAGAATAAAATAAAATAGATAAATAGAAGAAATATTGTGGTGAAATGTCACACGAAAACAACCAATCACGTTCAGGGTTACTAGAAGAGATGACTAATAAACTCATAGAGAATTCTAAAAGCTCACTTCACATCGAAGTATGCGCTGAAGATGTTGCTCAGTAGAGCAATGAAAGCTTGGCAACCAAACCATCCAGCTCAGAGAACACAACCACACCAAAATCATCCACCTGAGCTACAAATCTTCTCTATTATATGTTATAACTCTACAATGGTAGTACCATTAAACACTAGACACTAATGAATTCTCCGTTTGTACAGCCATTGATTTCACCTCAGTCTTTAGTACTCAATAATGACAGCTTTGAATTAGAAAAGAAAACTCCTAGAAAAATACATGAAGTGACCTACCCCTGTGTGTACACCTCTCAATGCATACATATCTACATCAATTGCTTCTGAACACCACTGGATGTGCCTATATAACCACCACAAAAGCATTTACGACTATACAGTATCAATCCATTATCTGAACAGTACTTAAGAACGAGGTCCGGATGAAATGTACACCTCGCACACTTCGTGGTGCTATAATAAAATGGTACGCCCCGTTATCCATCAACTAGTAGACGTTGAAAGCCAGTGGGGGTGAGTTCACATTCCTAGACTGTCATATTTTAAACTCAGCAGAACATCTACCTACACGGTATTGTTGCTAATCTAAACATTGATTGATTGATTTATTAATAAAGTATTTCCCCCTTAAATACGAAGCGCCATGTACACATCATTTTATCAAAAACATCTCAGCTAGTATTGACTTCGGGTGTAGTGCATACACTTCGGGGTTGAACTGTAAACAACTGTCCCGCTTTCTTTAATGTGCTCTAAAGCTTTTTGCCCTCCCCCCGTCACCCCGAAATGTCTACAGTGTGCCCAAAGAAAATGTTAGCTAGACTGTTTATGCTAGTCAATGAAATGCATCGATGTTTCTCCTCCACCGCCCCCTTACTTTACCCCTTCACTTTATTTTTCACAGCTTCCAGTTCTACAGGACGATTTGAAGTGGTGTCTGTGGAATGCCCATCAGAATCGATACATACTAATACAGAGAGACAAGAGAAAACCGCCGGCGAGAACAACAGCAGTTCCACACTGAAGACCATTGTTTGAAATCACTGGATCAATTAATTATCATCTTTGATCTTTCAAAAAGTATATAGATTAAAAAAATAATATTTTACATCACTCTCCTCTTTCAAATTTTATCTACAATATTTAATAAAAGATCACTGCTAAAACAAAGTTTTCATTTTATTGTCGGGCTTCTGTAACAGCCTCACCCAGTTCCAACCACCATCGCACACACACACACACACACAAATACACTGAGACTCATTCATTCATTCATTCACTAGGATGATCACCAGGTTTTCTTAATGCATTCCAAGAGAAATCAGCGACAAGAGCAATATGATCACTAGGGAAATAAGCATTAGGTAGGCCAAGTTTGTCTTCATCTGGGATAGATTCAGCATTGTCTACTGTCATTTGTTGTATTATACGCTGTTTCATTTGTTTCAGAGAGTCGATTGGCATAAATCGAGTACACTTCAATTCAGAATCTGTATTATACAATATCACGTCTAAAGTACTATTGAATTTAGGTACCCAATTTGTAAACTCTGGCGGATTATTTGCATAGACTGATTCAAATATCGGCTGATAGGCAGTTTTGCCCTGAGATGAATAAATAGGATTGTCATTGTTATTGTTGTTGCCTGTAGTAAGGGCATGATAAACAGTTGTACCCGGTGATTGATTAATATCTCCACAGAAAATAATTGGAATTGGCTTTCTGGAGTAGAGGAGAGAAGGAGGAAGAAATACATGCACGTATTATACAACATTAACGAATAGTTGGTTATCAAATTAACTAAGTTTTTGTATTTCTCCCCACCCCCACCCCCCAAATGAATGAAAAACAAAACGATATTGTCGTTTTTTACTAACGTTAAGATACGCTGATGATACTTTTGTTGTGCTTATTAACAAGATCTACACCACAGTTCATTCTTGCAGAGAAACTGTGCACAATCTATCTCCCAACATACAGTTTACTTCGGAAGCAGGCAGAATCAGACGACGTCGGTGAACTATCACTTTCTAGACTGCCTAGTCAAGAGGATGTAAAACAGACTCTAACAAATATTTAGACTTCGGATCATCACACCCTATCAGCGCAAAGGTCGTCCCTAGACCAGCACACTCTTCGATAACGGATGAGAAAGGAAAAGCGGAAGAAGGAACATTATGATTATTAGTCTCACGTTCAACCTTCATTCTCTACCGGGAATCTACCACCAGGCGGGGGGGGGGGGAGAAGTTAAACGAGATTTCGGAGTTCACCAAACCCCGACTCGAACCCGAATTACACTAGATGTGGTCAACAAGCGTTTCTGCATGTTGATAATTAATTAATTCAAGTATCGGTTTGTAGGGATATGATTGATTGGTTACAGGATACCAATGTCGTGATTTATTACCTATTCAAGTAAGTAAGTACCTGGGGTTCTAGTGGGAAGTCTCGACCAGTAGAGTACAAGCAGGTCGGGCGTGAGGACATACTCGCCACCGATGACACTGGCTAGTGCCAGTCACGCTACATCGTGCGTGAATTGGAATCCATGGGATGGTCATTGGATTGGCGCATCCCAGCGGCTTAATAGTACACAAGCTCGCTCACCTTGTAATTAGAAGGTCCTGGGTTCTACCCCTAGTGGGGTGGGTGTGCATTACCGAAGAGTCCTAAACCAGGACAACAAGAAGAGCTGACCAGTACTCTCAGCTGGTTTTCCAATGGTTCTCTAACCAATGTCAGCTCATGATGAAACCCTGTAACCAATAAATTAATTAATTTGTTAACATAAAAGTTTCTAATGACATTGAACATCATTCCAAATTATTAGAATAAACTTTCGTACGACATATACAGATTGTCGCCGATACATCCTCACAAACAATTTTTATAAATTACAAGCAAGTAAGCACGAACTCGTTTAATGTTATTTCTTCCATAGTAGATGATTCGTGTTAAAAGAAAAGATCAGTTTCCGCTTCCTCAGTTAACTGTCGTTCTGTTGAGGCAGCAGCGAAGCTATTAGCGATTGGATATATAATAACATCATGGTATGACGAGGCTTACACAAAGGGAGAGATTGGGAATGAGATATGTGTGAAACCCAACTGACTGTCTTTGCAAACGCAAGCGCAACACTTCAATAAACCACACTTCATTTATCACACAAAAAGGTCGAAAAAACAGCGGGATTATACAATCAAGAGATTTAAAAGCATCATGAACACCAGATATGAGCACGAAAGAAAACAAAACGGTTACACTGGAAATTATGAGAATTTGATAGATATATTAAATCAATAAAAGAGTGAATACATGCTGAAATTCCCGAACAAGCAGTTTACACTTTCCTATATGATAGACTCAAACCAACTGTTAACGATTTCATCGACTGATTGCATGTTAACTAGTGTGACTACTCCACCTCTGACTCTTTTCCAACCTCATCGAACCTATGTCAGCTAACAACATTCCTAGTTGAGGAAGGGGCGATGGCTATGCTTACCTGCGTAACACATGTCCCCATCATCCACCTCAATCGATTCACCTTCACACACACTCACCGATTGACTTTCCCTCCCCCTTACCTAACTACCAGATGTCTACTCTCAGTATTACTCATCATATTATGCCACCTAACATGGGAGGTAGAACTCAGACACCTTCGACTGAAGACACCTAGTCAGCCTTTTCATGTCTTCCGCTTTCAGTGGCCATACACCCCAACAGTTAGTCATAAAGAAGAATGAAGCGAAGTTAGTCGTAGTACACATGTCCTTTAATTGATAACCACTTGTATATCACGTCTACTAAGCCGGAGATAGTGTGAGTTGGTAACTCCCGACCGATAGCTGCTACCTTGACGTGGTTGTTGGTTGGGCTTGCATATCGAAAAGACCCAACAAGCTTCATTGACTGAAACTAATGTTCCTGAAGGTCCTACACTGCCAGGAAGATTGTTAGGATAGCGATCAGACAGACTAAAAGTAGTTACCGGTATAGTGTAAGAGTATGGTTTGTACACTATGTTGGAGGTCTGTCCATGGGCAAAGTCGTACTGCTGGGGAATGTGGGTATAACAGCGGTAAGGTGTGCGATAGTAAGTAAGCCTTTTCATATCTTCCGCTTTCAGTAGCCATGTCCCACAGTTAGTCATAAAGAAGGATGAAGCGAAGTTAATCGCAGTACGCACTTTCTTTCATGGATAGCCAGTAGGATATCATGTCGACTAAGCCAGAGATAGCGAAGGTTCTCAAATCCCACATGGTGCTTTTTTTTATCCATGGTGAGATTACTCCAGTAATCAGTCCACTGGGGTTGATGAAACTTTCCAAATAAGTGAAGTAGTGGTCAACAAGCTCAGTCAGAGACCACTTCACTACCTCCCTATCTTTAAACTAGGAGTTGATGTAGTCCAGTCCTGCAGAACCATCTTACATTTGACAGTAGTAGCAAATCGTATCCCAAACATTCGATAATCGCAGTTCAAAGTAATCAAAAGACTATGAATTTTATCAGCCGCCTCATCTGCATACTTTAAGCCAACAACACTGCCATTCTCTGTTAACAAATCAATCCACTAAAGTTAGTTTGGATCAATTCCATCAGTACATCGATAATGAAACTAAGCAGAAATGGGGACAGTAGTGATCATCCTTGACGGACACTACTTGCTGTGCATCAATTCAGATAACAACTCTTCGTAAACGCTTACATAGCTTTGTGATTTCGAGTAGAATGACTTGATTAGTGTGCCATTTACCTTCTAGGTACTCTCTTCATAGCCATAAGCAAGTTGAAAACCGCCTGTGTGCGTGTAAGGAAGCGTACTAAACATACAAAAAGTCAATCACTCACTCAGTACGCCAATACTAATTGGAAAACGGTTGAAAATATGAAATTAACTAACTAACTAATAGGGGCGTTGTCAAAGATAATGACCAGCCCAGCAAGTGTACTGTGACTTCATGCTCTGTGAAGTAACTTCACTTACACAATCGATCCGAACTAAAAGTGCATGAATACACGTATAACACTCTGTATGACACCGACTTCTGCTTTTCTATGTGGAGATATTAAACAGGAACATAACCTTTAAGGACAAGTAGTAACACCGGAATAAACTGCTTGCTTGTATAATACTAGTGCGCATTATTAGTATTTGAAGGCATATAGTTATTGCTCAGAGAGAGAGAGAGACTTGACAGAGGTTACTTCCTTCACTTATCTGGCTACGCAGCATCGTTTCAACCACAGGGAGTCGGAACGGATGAAGATGTCACAGCCAGCCAGCCAGAATCGAAAGAACAACATACGCCTTCATCAACCGGAAACCAGTTTGCAAATCTTCTGCTTCACTCTGCCTCGGCATAAACAACAAGATTCGAATTTTTAACACAAATATCAGTGAAGTTAATCAGTCACCTCTTCTATATGGGTCGGAAACTTGCACTACACGTGCGTAACGGAAAGCATTTCCAACAGGTCACTGCAGACTCTTATCAACAGGTTCCCCCTTCGCTGGCTGGCTCCATACTGAAGATAAAATGGCCAGCTAGCCGACCGGAAACAATTAGCAACAAAAAACTCTGGCAATAAACGAACCTAACAAGAACGGACTGCTCAACAAATTTGCAGAAGAAAGTAGGGATAGATTGGACATACGTTGAGGAGGTCATAGAGTCACATCGTGCTCATTGCAGGCTATCCAACACTTAAGTGGAATCGCAATGAGAAGCGAAGAGTGGGTTGTTGGTGCTGGGTTGACATGGGGGAGATCGTGTGAGTTAGAGGAGGAGATGAGAGATTATGGGCAATCGTGGGGTCAACCAGCTGAAGAGGATAGCATCAAACAGAAGAAAGTGGAGATGTGTTGTTGATGTCCTATATCCCACTCAGAAACCAAGGGAAAAATAATAATAATAACACGAAAGGTGTCATTATTATTATTGTCATGGGTTCCTAGTGGAACATAGGGCATCAACAACACATCGACATTTCGTATAATTCGCTGCAGGCCTATTTAGCTGATTCCAAGATTCGCCACAAACTCTCATTTCCTCCCACTCACACGATCTTCTCCGTGTCACCATCGGACACACACACCAAATTCGTTGTTTCCTGTTTCGGCCTCCACTCAAGAGGTATCACTCAATGGTCTCCTCAGTCTTCCACATATGTGTTGGGCAATAAGTTCCTGATTGATTCCTTACCGGATTTCCTTGTTGGTATTCCTGTCTGGCTATTTGATCTTCAATGTGAAGCGAAGCAGGCAGTTGTCTGCAATGGCCTAATGGAAATGCATATGGTGACGCGCAATGTTTCTGATCCATATACTGTTCTATATGTTGTATACAGATTTTCACAAACTGATCTCAGAGTGATGAAGATCTACCTTGCCTTTGCGATCTCCACTATGGTTTGACATCCTTATCTGTGACATGTGGCTGTACTTGGAACGATGCTTTCTAGACAAGTGCACAAAAAGACTCCAATATGAACAAAATTTTATTCTGATAAAATCACACAGTGTTATTCAGTAATATTTACTGATGACAACGTTTCGAACACAATTTATTACTGCTCATAATCATATCAAAGTACTCACGTAACTTTCTTGCTTGATTCATATACATGAGTTAAAAGAGAACTAACGGCTGATCACGAACTAAGTCATAGGACAAAGCTGTCCATTGAGGAAATTATTTTAGGCATTCAGTTATGCCTCACATCTACTGTTTTTGAATTCAAGGGCAAAATATATAGACAAACAGGAGGTGTGTAGCAATGAGATGGATCACCAATATCCCCTGTCGTAGCAGATGTCTTTATGGACAGCTATGAAAGTATTGCTCCTAATACATCCACCTAATCCTCCTCCAAAAATATGGTGGAGATATGTGGATGACACTCTCACACACAGTGTTAAAAACAGAACATATCTCTCCCTAGCTTCTTCACACATATATAAACTCACTAGTAAAGGGAATAAAATTCACATTTGAAGCCGAAAATGAACAAGGAGAATTAGTTGTGATGCTAGATTGCAAAACAAAATCAAAAGAAGACGGTAAACTGCACACTGGCGTTTATCAAAAGCCAACGCATTCTACTAATAAAGATTTAGACTTCAGTTCATCTCATCCGTTCGTTATCTGTCTGTGAAGGCAGGCTTAGTTAAGTGTCTAACAAACCAAACAGCAACATTACTAAGTATACTACATCAAAAAACCTAAATGATGAAATGAAACCGATTGAAGAATGGCTAGTTGGTGTTAAATAACTAACCATCCTATAGAATTCATTAAGAAGATCAGAAAAGGTCAATGACTACATAAAGAAGAAAAAATATGACGCATGTTCAGCAGTTTTGCCAATATAAGGAGGAAGGTGTCGTCTGAGACCGTCCCTACGTGGGATTCTCAATAAAGCGTGAATTAGGGTGGTGGTGGCATTTAAACCTTCAAAGTCACTCACTCAGATAGGACAACCTCTGTAGGAGCCTGTGGGGTGACCCAATTCGATGAAATAATATGATTTACAAAATACCTTGCAATGACTGTGAGTTAGGTCAACTACCTACATAGGTCAAACTAACAGATGAGGAGCAGTGAGATTATCAGAACATAAGAATTTAGCTGAAGTTAGAATGAATGCTCCCGAGAAGATAAGTAATGTAGAAAGAAGAAAGCTCATCACTACATTGCACTGTATGCATGTATTAACACACAAGCACACAATAGGGAGGCAGGGAGGGAGAGAGTTAAAATTCTAAAAAGTAATATAGGTAGGTGGAGAGAAATAGAGAGAGGTTGATTACTTACTGAATCTTTATTCATTGAGTCTACACCCAACACATGCAATAGAAGTCATTCAAGACAAATACCAGATATATGGAAGATATTATTACCACCCGTCAAATCAGAGGATAATAAATAATCTTAAAATTCACATTATAACATTCTAACAAGCTATTTATTTTACTATAAAAACACCTTATTTCCCTTCCTATCTTATTGTATTTTATTGATAACACAAATATTATTTCTTAATGTACTTTATCATCTTATATTGATTTTATTCAAATGTTTAATCATCAATTTTTACTCATATATATAAAGGGAGCAAGAAAGTCATGTGAGTAGTGCCTTGATATGATTATGTGAGCAGCAATGATAAATTGTGCTCGAAACGTGGTCGTCAGTAAATATTACTGTATAACAAATACACTGTGTGATTTTATAGAAATAAATTTTATCTATAATGGAGTTATACTCAACCACAGTGTCCAAGTTTTATATTTATATCAATAATACATATGGACGAAAACACCTCTTTCAAATGTACTCCGTTGATAATGCTTGGTATTTGATCTTGTCCGTTGGTTGATCATCTTCTTCGCCTCCGTCCTTATGTGTTCACTTGAAGTCCTCTCTTTGCTGCCTACACCTCTTCTGTCAACTTGTTGGTTATCTAGTTTGCGTGACATTCGTCATAAGTCATCGATGAAGTCCATATCTCCTAGAGTCTTTTCATCAATCCAACCTATTCCTGTCTTCTCGCTCCCCACCCTCCACAAATGGTGCTCCGCATATAATCCAGGCCACGACAATTAGGAATGTCATCGTTGTTGACAGTAGGTAACCTTGTCTTACTCTTGTCTCACATTAGACATAAGGCATCATCACATTGTTACATAGCTGTGTTGAATGAGGTTGTGACAAATAGAGTTGAAGTAGTTTCCAAATTACTTTACAGTCAATTTTGTCAAAGGCCTTTTTAATGTCGACATTGATGATGGTGATACGTAGAGTTGCAATTTGATCAGCTCACTGTTCGCCTTTCTTGAATCCAGATTGTTCCAGGTTGGTGGAGTTCTGCATCCGGTGGTGCATCGTCTAGTGTCTTCATCATGAAGCAACTCAATATTTTCTTCAGAGTGTGGACAAGAGTATGATTTCGCGTCAGCCATTTATTTACATAGCCAATTATTATTTTCGCGCAGATATATATATATATAAATATATATATGGGGGTCACCACTGGGCCCTTTACTTGCAAACTGCTTCCTGAAAAGTCTAAAGAATAGTACGTTACGACCCACTATCGATAGTTTCCATATGTACCAAAGATACACGGATGATACTTTCGGCATATGTGACGAGAATATCGGCATCCAAATGATAACTGAGGAGTTACACAGCCGCCATAATTCCATCCAATTCATGTCGAAATCAGAAAGGAACTCGGAATTCCATCTCTTTTGGCTGTTTTTTCAAAAGGAGATCTGATGGTTCTCTTCAAATATCGATCTACATGGAACCAACATGAAATGGTCTGTATACGAATTTTCATAGTTAGGTCCCTTTGAGAAGAAAGTGAAAGCTGATCCACTCCTTATCCCCAAGAATAATAAGAATATATGCCTGCCAGTGATACAACCGACGGTGAACTGGAGAGACTGATACAAATCCACATGGAACATGGATATCCTTTAATATTTATCAAGAAAAATGTGAAAGTAAAGCAAAAACCCGAAAGAACCCGACAAAGTGCCGAAGAAACGCCTATTCATGAATGTTGAGATTCTGCAGAACCACTGCTTATCCAAATCACTGAGGAAAGCCTTCTTTTCAGCTGAACTACGGATCAGTTTTTACAGCCAACTAATGATCAATCGATGTGTGAAGTATAAACTACCGCTTTAGACGGCAGTGACTTCAATGTGTGTCTATAAATTCACCTGCTCCTGAGGACCTAGTTATACTGTCCGCACAACTTAGCGCACTCTTCCCAAACGCATCTTTGAACATTAATCTGGCATGGTTAGCAAAAGGACAATACAAGACAATGACTAGCTAATTTCTCGAGCACTTGGTGAACTCAAGCCACGCAGCTTCACCTCAGTAGTCTTTCAAGATTATCTACAAGATGAGGACAAATGGTTGAAATGGCGTTAGGTTTCGACTTTTGTGTATGGCGGAGGCGTCTGCAATTCGTCAGTTCAACCCCGAACTCTGTATACAGAAAAAGTTTGTCCAGTCTCTTATTCTACCTTGGTCTTGACCTCTTCACTAATCCTTGCCTGTAAAAGTAACTTTTTTAATATTTGAATTTTCAATTTTACTTTTAGTTTGCTTTTACTTTAATAATTAACTAACCAATATCACTCATATGTTCCCTTTGTACATTTTCACACCCTCTTCACACTTGTTAAATTGACATTATAATTTATTCGTACATATACTTCCTATGCTTTAATTCAATGAAATGAAAATTAGTCTCCTCTATTGAGTGTTAAGTAAGGAAAGAGGAGGGGAAATCAATCGACAATGAGGTTGTGAAGCAGTTGCATCAAATGAGATGGTTAGGACATGCGTCGCGCGTACCTGCCTGCCTAGCCATCGCCTTCATCGACCAACAGGCTAAGTTAACTGACATAGGATCGATCAGGTTGTAAAAGAGTTAGCTAGTGGTGGTCAAACCAAAACATGGATACATCAGTCAGTGAAATCCACGACAATTAGTTTAAGCCAGCCAGCCAGTCACGTAGGGAGGTGTAGACTACTCGTCTGGTTGGAGTTGCGTGGATTCTAAGAAACAATTACTGTAGACAATAAGCGATATGGCTGGCTCAAAATCGTTCTCGGTGATGGTTGGCGCAGATACATTCACTCTTCGTGATTCATAATATCCAATAAAATTCTTCTTGCCTATTACTATTCTTTTACCAAAACTCTCACACTTGTGTTTACTATCTCTGTCTCTTTTGAATCGCTGTCTACTACTCTCTACTCTTGCTTTGTATGGTACATGTAGGAAGTGTGACAACTGGCAACTGCTGCACATCTATGCAAAGTTCTACGTTGAAACCAATCAGTCAGGTTAACAACAGTAAAACACAAAACAATTACACATGAGTGCATGAAAACATAATCTACTCACTTAGAGGCTTGATTATATTCCATAGCAAGTTTTAGTAAATAATGACGAACTGTATGCGCTTGAATCAATCGAAGTGAACTTGCTGACGGATGGAAATAGAAATGTGTATTAGCGACAATGAATAAGGCCGGTGATGATGATGATGATGGTGATGATTTTGTCCGAAAAACACCAACAACTAGACATTGTGATAAAGATTTCTGAATATGAACATCAACATCCTCTTCATTAAATGAATGTTCTTCTGAAGATGTACGCTTGAAGTCTGCAGGAGTTAAATTCGCCAACATATTTGATAAGAATGGGACTGTAGATGCATAATCAAGGATTGATGGTAGGTAAAATTGTGAGACAAGTTCAAAACGAGAACTAGAGTAGAAAATTGCACAACCTTCACCCTGTGAATGAAAATAAATATTTTTTTTTAAATGCAAATATCATTATTGGGGATAAGATAATGTTGCTAAAATGAATTAAAACAAACTTGTATGGTCGATACATCGTTACACAACAGAAGTAGTACTGCAGATGACGTCAGTCCTGCTAGATGAAGACGTTGATAAAATGCAGAGTCCTCTGAACACCAAATTATCGAATATTTGAGGTGAGATTCTCTCCTTTCAAATGTCAGATGCGATATTAAACAGGTGGATCGCATAGACTACTTCTAGCTTAAAGATGGATAGGGAGTGAGTGAATTGGTAGAACGTGTTCACTGATAAATTCACTGATGGTGGCGAAATCACACCACAGATACAAAACTCTCGTGTGGGCGTCCCTTGTTACTTCCTGGATGCCCACACCACCGTGGAGATTGATTTTTTTCTTCGAGTATCTGAAGCAGAAAGAGAATTAGTGTTGCGTGACTGCATAGCCCAAGGGACACAAATGCTTCAGGACGGCCAGTCACACAAGGCCTGTATGAACTGGCTTTTTGGTTTAGTCCTTTTTTGTTACGTATTACCGCCAGCTACAGGATCACCGTAGGGTAAATCGAGATAAATAATTTTCGAAGTCGACCTTTTCTAACCCCACCCCCATTCTCTCCAGAGCGGAGAGACAGCATAGCTGACATGTTCGTCATCTCAGGGAAACACCTTACTGCTATTATACCCATATTCCCTAGCAGTACAACTTTGCCCACACTCAGACTTCCAACATATTGTACAAACCATACTCTTACACTATGCCGTAACTGCTTTTAGTCTAATCGCTATCCTAACAATCTTCCTAGCAGGAACATTGGTTCCAACCAGTGGAGCTTGTTGGGTCTTTACGATATGCGAGCCGGACCGACAACCACGTCAAGGTAGCAGCTATCGGTCGGAATTTACCAACTCACGCTATCTCCGGCTTAGTAGACGTGATATCCGACTGGTTATCAATTAAAGGACATGTGTACTGCGACTAACTTCGCTTCGTCCTTCTTTATGACTGTTGGGGGCATGGTCACTGAAATTGGAAGACACATGAAAAGGCTGACTAGGTGTCTTCAATCAAAGGTGTCGGTGTTCTACCTCCCATGTTAGGTGGCATAATATGATGAGTAATACTGAGATTAGACGTCGAATGTTACGTAAGGAGGAGGGAAAGTCAATCGATGAATGTGTGTGAAGGTGAATCGATTGAGGTGGATGATTGGGACATGTGTTACGCAGGTAAGCATAGCCATCGCCCCTTCCTCAACTAGGAATGTTGTTAGCTGACATAGGTTCGATGAGGTTGGAAAAAGTCAGATGAGTGGTCACACGAGTTAACATGCAGTCAGTCTATGAAATTGTTAACAGTTGGTTTGAGCCAACCATGTAGGGAGGTGTTGGAGTCCGTTTAAATGCTTTCCTCTCCTTCACACTTCTGTTTATTATCACTCAGTTAGACTATATCATACACAACTGAAATATTATAAGGACCTTAGGTTCAGGAGTTTAATCTCATTCTCGTTAGCCAGAGGAGACAAATAATTAGCGAATATTGGCGTAGAAATCTCTGACTACCTACTGTCTTGTTTGTTTGTTCACTCCTCGAACAAATTTATATTTCTTATGAGTTTAACTCTAGCTTTAATAGCGCGCAACTTTTAATTATATTCGTCCTTGAACTTATGGCCACCACCACCATCAAAATGTCAACTTACCCTTATTTTTCATATCGCTATTATTATTATTATTATAAACAACATCAACATCGCTAATAGTAGTGTACATAATATTCACACTGATTACAGTGACCGAACGACTCGCAAAGCACTTTGATTGGTTGAAATTTCACACACACACACACACATAGCTATTTAGAATTATGTGTTATAACAGAGTATACAGCTTGAGTATGATGTAACTGAAAACAATATTGTTTCCACTAGACATATTTTAACTTTGATTACACTATAGGTGTATAGGGCAAGTCTCATTCACTGTCTTCAAGCAGTTAGGGTGTTTCTTCATGAAAGTGAAAGGCTGAATGCGAACATCTGGTGCTTAGAACCCAACTGGTAGACACATGCTAGTCTACCTAGGAGAGTTTAAAAAAAAGCCTGATTCCAAACACCTACGGCACTGTATATGCACTCCAGAATCTGAAAAGATTGAATGGTGTATTCACCCGCCACAGGAATGTAACTACAAATACCGCTCTGGTGCCTTGTGAATCACACTTAATTCAAAGGATACGTACGGATGTAGCCTCTCACACCAATCACCTGCTTCAGCCTACGCGTCCCGGACAGTATCCCAGCCGTCGCACAAATTATGAGGTTTTGCGAGAAGCTAATTCAACACTATGAACTGCAATGGCCCTAATCTTTATCAACCTTACTCAATAGATATATGACGATTATACTGTGTCTCAAATAATCCGCAACAGAAAACTCAGCGAAGCCTGCCTTTGAAGTGAATACAGGAGTTAAACGCGGCTATCACCAGTGATGATACTCCTAATTGTCGTGACCTGGATTATGCGGAAGACTGTGGGAAGTGAAAAATACAAGGCATACATTGGACCGATAACAAGACTCCAGAAGATCTGGACTTCACCGATGACTTCTGACTAATGTCATAGACAACTCGAAAAGCCAACATGTTGACAGAAGAGGCAGGCAGCAAAGACAGGACTTCATGTGAACATAGAGAAGATGGAGGTGATGAATATAACCAACCAACCAACCAACTGGCAACAACAACAACCAGCACCAATCACCATCCATGGTAGATATTTGAAAAAGGTCAAGCCACCATCGTTTGAACTGCAGTCAGTAGGCATGGTTGGGGATTTTAAAGCCAGCATCCTAAAGGTCAGACGAGCCATCATCACCCTGAAATCAAACTGGAAACCTTTTAAAAACACAGCACAAAAAATAAAATTTGGACTGTTAACACCAATGATACAAGAATAGAACTTGTGCACTGTGGTACAGCATAATTCTATTGTGCATAAAATTTATTGTGATAAAGTATCACAGTGTATGATACAGTAATATTTAGTGATGACCACACGCTTCGAGCACAATTTATTACTACTAATAATGATATCAGGTTATTCACACACCTTTATAAGATTCCACTATTTCTCCTCACTTGATTTGATTGGTAGTAATATTTTCAATATTTCTCGTATTAGTGATGAGTCGATTCTGTTGCATGTGCTGTGTTGGGCGTCGATTGTTCCTTATAATCCTCTGATTTGACGGGTGGTAATAATATCTTCCATATCTCTGGTATTTGCGTTGAGTGACTTCTATTGCATGTGTTGGGAGTAGACTCGATGGACAAAGATTCAGTAAGTAATCAACCTCTTTCTATCTCTCTCCACCTACCTACCTATATTACTTCTTAGAATTTTAACTCCCTCCCTCCCTACCTCCCTAATGTGTGCTTGTGTGTTAATAATGCATGCAGTGCAATGTAGTGGTGAGCTTTCTTCTCTCTACATTACACATCTTCTCGAGAGCATTCATTCTAACTTCAGCTAAATTCTTATGTTCTGATAATCTCACTGCTCGTCATCTGTTAGTTTGACCTATGTAGGTAGTTGACCTAACTCACAGTCATTGCAAGGTATTTTGTAAATTATATTATTTCATTGAATTGGGTCAACGCGACAGGCTCCTTCAACCTACCTACAGAGCTTGTCCTATCTGAGTGAGTTTGTAGGTTTAAATGCCACCACCGTAATTCCTGCTCTATTGGGAATCCCACGTAGGGAGGGTCTCAGGTGACACCTCCCTCCTTATATTGTAAAACTACTCTACGTGCCTTATATTCCTACTTATTTATGTGATCATTATTAGTTTCACCATTATTTGATTTTATTCCAATGTCTAATCAATTTTTACTCATGCATATAAATGAAGCAAGAAAGCTTTGTGAGTAATGCCTTGATATGATGACGAGCAGCAATAAATTGTGCTTGAACCGTGTGGTCATCATCAGTAAATATTCCTGTACTGCAAAGACTTTGAGACATTATCAAAATATAATTTTATCCACAATGTTAACACACCAATGTTAATTCAGATAATGCTTCTCTACATGGGTCAGAAAGTTGGCATGCCCGTCACCAAAACCCATTTTTCCATGGCAAAATCTTATCAACAGCTGCCGCTCCCTTCGCAGGCTCAATACTGAATACACACAGAAAGGAAATCGAGATGGAGATGAGACCTGTCAAATGATATTTCGCGGCACGATTGGAAATTAAATGGGAAATGATGAGTTGAACCTGCCTCCAAAGGTGACATGGAAGAGATCGTGTGAGTTGGAGGAGGAGGAGGAGGAGGAGATGAGAGACTATGGGAAAACATGAGGACAGCTTACGAGGACATTAAAACGCTCAATTTGGAATACAGAGGGAATGAAAAAAGAATTGTTATGGATTACTGACTCACCTTCTCTTTTTCCATGTCTGTTTTCACCTTAGCCGGATTATTTGGATCTGGTAGAACAGCTCTTTTAGCTAGAAATAAACTATTCATATTTTTGTAGCATTTTAAACCATGTGATAGATATCTTTCGTAAATCCATCGATCAACTTCTTGTAAACAAATAATATCTGATTGGTATGAGTATAATTCATGTAGAATCAATGGTAACCGATATGCTGAACTGGTGAAATTCTCTGGACAATGTTGAAATAATGAAGTACGCGCTAAGTCAGATCGAACATAGACTTCAGCTAAAATATTATAGCTAACAACACGTAAACGTTGTGAATCCATTTCATCGTTTCTAATTAATTTGTATCTATTATAAAAAATAATAATAATAATAACAGGGAGCGTGATTATAGGTGAATTCTGTTAAGAGTGTCAAGTGAGTAATCAACGTGCAGAAAATGGTTATCAATTATCTGACTTATTGGTGTATCACAAGCGTCTCTAACTACTATAGTTTGATACCCTCCCTCACGACCACCACCATCAACAACAACAACAAACAACCTGGTAGGTACAGCAATTGAGGGTGGATAGAAGAATTTGGTCCTTATTTCAAAATACTCTCCTCATAGATGACCAGGTAGTCATTGCCACTACCAGATAAATCCTTACTCACTGTCTTCACGTGGCAAACGGGTGTTCCTCCCAAAGACGAAAGGGTCAGAAACTTGGCCAGTGTTTCGCGAAAAGCATCTCCAACACCTTGTTGTAGACTTTTATCGACAGTCACTTTCGCTCCATATTGAAGATCAGATGGTCAGACAGAATTAGCAACAAGAACTTGTTGCACAACAAATGACTGACTGACTGGCTAACTGACTGATTGGTTTCAACACACAACTTTGCACAGATGCGCAGCAGTTCCAGTCGCCACACTCCCCCCCATGTACCACACAAAGCAAGGGAAGGAAGTAAAAAGAAATGCAAAAAAGAGACAGTAAAAAGAGATACGAGGCAAAAAGAATAGTAACATCGAAGGACAATATAGTTGCATTGAGTATTATAAGTCACAAGAAGTGGATGTATCTACGCCATCATTGAGAACGATTTCGAGCCAGTCATATCACCAATTGTCTCCAGCTTCCAGTGGTGTTTACCGTCCCGAGGACCCAAACCAGTGAGGAAGTCTACATCTGCCTACCTGGTTGGTTGGCTTTAACTAACTGTTGTGCGTTTCATTGACTGATGAAGCCATGTTTTGCTTTGACCACCACTAGCCAACTCTTTTCCAACCTGATCCTATGTCAGCTAACATTGCCCGTTGTCGAGGAAGGCGATGGCTAGGCATGCATACGCAACACATGTCCTAAACATCTCAGTCGATGTAACTGCCTCGTCGATTGATTTTCCCTCCTCTTTCCTTACCTAGCACTCGACCGATGTTTCAATATTCATCACTCTATTATACCACCACCTGACACGTGAGATAGAACGCAGACACCTATGATCAAAGACAACCAACCAAAGTATTCATGTCTGCCACTCTCAATGGTCAGGTTTCACAGCCATAAAGGAGGACAAAGCGGACTGCTGAGCAGTACACACGTCCTCTGGTTGATAGCCGATACGCCGATGAAAATCGAGATGAATCGGATACACATTGAGGAGACCGTTTGATGACGCCTAGTACCAAGCCATCCATCGGCCGAGTGGCAATCCGCATAGGGAGCGATAAGTGGGGCTTCCGACAGTGACATGAAAGACATCGTGCGAGTGGAAGATGAGAGACTATGGGCATACGTGGAGCCACAGGGACAGGACAAAGTAGAGATGTGTTGTTGAAGCCATATATTCCCCTTGGAACCCAAGAAAACAGTAATAAAATATAAGTTAATCAAAGACTTTTACGATCTCAGTCACACAATAACAATATAAATTAATAAATATTTAAGACAGTAAGTGGGTTTGAATGTAATCTTCAAACAGGAGTGTGCAGTAGTCGCCTTACCTTTGTTCATGAAACTCTTGAACCGGTGGTTTAAGTACAGGTGACTTGCATTCAATTGGTTGTCCATAAGGCGTATAAAATTTATTTACTCCATATGGTGAACCATCTTTCCCATTTGCATCACGTATACGAACTCGTAGTTGAACCAACAAACCAAGATGACTTTGATCTGGTATGAATACGAAACCTTTATGACACGGTTGTTCAGGCCATTGTTTAGGCTATAATAAATATCACAGGCAGGAAGAAGTTGTATTAACGGATGAGGAAACAATCACTTTGTCAACAGTAACATTTTTGAATAAAGCAAGAATAACAGTGTGGTTTGAGCAGAATAAGAAGATGGTATAATCATTGATTATTTTGTTGGCTTCTCATCAGCTCAGCTGTGCACAGCCCACAGACACCATTAAGTTTGTGTACAGAGTTCATTTTTAAACAAAAAAATCAATATATGCAAACAATAGTAATGTGATAATACAGGATTTCATCATGAGCTGACATCGGTTAGAGAGCCATCGGAAAACCACCTGGGAGTATTGGACAGCCAGCTGTTTCGTCAGTCTAGTTTGGGACTCCTCAACAGTACACACCCACTCCACTGGAGTTCGAACCCAGGACGCTCTGGTTACAAGACCAGCTAGCTCGTAGACCATTAGGCAACCACTGGGACCCGATGCAATCCAATGGCCAGCCAGCCCATGAATTCCAACTTCTGCCAATTCACAATATAGTGCAACCGCTAGCCGATGTCTTCGGCGAGTATTTTTCCTCACACCCAACCTGCTGCATCCTACTGGTCAAGACTTCCCACTAGAACCCAGGTAACTACCTACCTGAATAGGGCCAGTCGCTGGTGAGCATCTTACTGATATTCAAGTATTGGTTTATAGCGATTTGATTGATTGGTTACAGGATTTCATCATGAGTTGACATCGGATAGAGAACCATTGGAAAGGTCGGGTATGAGGACAAATACTCGCCGAAGAAATTGGTTAGCAGTCGCGCTATATCGTGAAATGGCAGAAGTTGAAATTCATGGGCTGGCTAGCCATTGGATTGGATCGGGTCCCAGTGGATGCTTAATGATGCACACATAAATCGGGATTCAGGTGCTTGATGGAGATTGCTTCGGCAAACTTGAGGAGAATTGAACTCTTTCGCCTATTGATAATTTTGAAGGATCTTGCGATATCCACCACATGACCCGTGTCAAGGGGATGTCTGGCAATGGCACTGTTCAAAGCATTTGTTCCCTTGAGACATAAGCTCTTTGGTACATGATAAGAAAATCGGAGATATACCCTATGTTCTGTTCTCCCAATGTAACTGGTCCTGCAGATACATGTAAATTTGTATACACAGTAACATACACAAACAATAATTTGGTAGAAAGGATGTTAAGGTTATCAAACTGTAGACTTTCATTATTCAGCCAATACACAGAACTTTAATTCAATTTTAGACTTTTCCGTCGATCGATTGGACCAAAGTGCTCGGGCTCAGGTTGACATGTCGGCACCTTGTGCAGATACTCTGACGATGTCTGGTCATGTAACTTGAAGTTAATTGGTGGGTGGTGACTAGCAGTGGACTACAGTCAAGATGCGAATTTCGTCCTATTCGGGACTCATCGGCTGGATGTACCTGCAGACCCCAGTGAGTGATGATGTTCCCACCGAGGCTCGAACCCAGTGCGCATAGTTTCAAACACCAAAGCGTTATCCACTAGACCACTTTGGGCCACGAGAGCCACCGCTTGTGCAACGGGTCTTCGGTACAATCCATCGACGGGAAAATCTAAAATTGAATTAAATAATTAGTAAGACCCGTTGCACAAGAGGTGACTCTCGTGGTCAAAGCTGTCCAAGGGATAATATTGGCCATCTCAATCGATTCACCTTCACAACTTCATCGATTGACTTTCCCTCCATATCTAACACTCTACGTTTAACTTTAACACTACTCAATCTACCGTATTACCCAACAGAGGAGATAGAACACAGACACCTATGATCAAACCTTTTCATCTCTTTTAATTTCAATGTCCATATCTTACAGCTACAAAGGAGAACGGAGTGAACTGGTCCTCAATACACAAGTCCTCTCATCAGCAGCCAACCGGATACCACATCTACTAAGCCAGAGATGGCGTAAATTGGTACATCCTATACTAGCCCCCTGTACCCGTAGTGAGATTTCGTCACCAATCGGCCCGTTGGGGCTGATACAACTCCTCGAAAAAGTGAAGTGGTCAACACGCTCAGCCACCACTTCACTACTCTTGCCTGTCTATTTTTAAGTTAGGAGTAGTCGATGCAGTCCAGTCACTCCTGTAGCATCGTCACCTTACATTCGAAAGCAGTAGCGAATCGCATGCCAAGCATTCCAAGATTGCTGCTCCTCAAGGTGTTCAGAAGACTCTGCTCTATTTTGTCAGAGTCTTCACCTAGAAGGCCTACACTGTCTGCACATTCGAAGTCAACGAGATTATTCCATTGTGGTAACAAGTCAATCCCTGAGTCGTTGCAGTCAGTTAGGGTTGAGTCCATTAGTACATTTATGATGAAATTAAACAGATATAGGGACACTGAGCATTCCTGGACCCTACTGGTTACCGAAAGCCTAATCTTCACGCAAACAAGTGTGCTATGTGGACAGCATATCACAATCTCATCGTCAAAAGCACTTTTATTACCTGACAACAGCTGACATTATCGCATTATGAGATAAATATTTTTAATATAGTGCGCGTTCGTCACCTGTACAAATACATTGAAGAAGATATTAACAATCCTTTCCTGAGCTAAATATGTAAATATATATTCGGGTATCATCCACGTCTCCACGTCCTCATGGACAAATAGAATTCATAAACTTCTACACTATTTATTTATAATCAACTGAAATGAATCGACAGGAGTAGTGTAATACACATGATTCGACTTCATATATAGAAAAGATCCTCATATAGACTTTGAGTAGACAAAAGGATTGAGGTGAAGAAATATTCACTTTTCAATTAGATCCCCATCTCTGACTCTACTCGAATATGTACATCAGAGAATTACTTCGTAGAAATGGTTGTCCAGATATGTTCACTGAGAAAAATATGAATTGGTGCACCAAGGCCAAGGAAAGTAGTCAGTAACGCGACAGCTCCAAAAGAGACCTTGTTCATAAAACTACAGTTTCTTAGGAATGACATCAGTGAAATAGAAACACAGCGAGCACCTGAAGAATGCAGTTAAAACAGCTTTCACTGCAGCCATGGTGGTACTTTACCTTTACACTACCATCCCTATTTTACGTTCGAGAAATAAGGGTAAACTATCCAATTTCGCCTCCACCGCATTCTTCTCTATGAGTATCTACCAGTGCCACTGTTCCTGTGGAGCTAGTTATATTGGGCATACAATTAAGCAGACGTTTCGAGCACAATTTATTGCTCACAATCATATCACCTTGACATGATTATGAGCAATAAATTGTGCTCGAAATGTCATCAGTAAACATTACTGTATAACAGTGTGAGACTTTATCAAAATAAATTTTACCCATAATGGAATTACACTCTACTAAAGTGCAGAAGTTTTTTTCTTATATCAATACAATAAAGCAGGTTCATCATCCTATTTCCGAACATCATCTTGCATAGTGGTTGAGCAAGGGACAAACAAGATCTATTCGTAGTTCTGTTTTAGTACACCTCGTAGACAATGAGCATAAAGTTGATATTAATACAGCATTGAAAGTTAATTATCAGATTCTAACTAATATTAATTTACAGGATTTCATCATGAGCTAACATTGGTTGGAGAACTATTGGAGAAGCAGCCGAGAGTACTGGACATATGTTTCGTCCTAGTCTGGGACTCCTCGCGGGTACATACGTTTTGAGGTTCGAACCCAGGACCTCCCGGTTACAAGGCGAGCAAGCTAGTAGACCACTCAAACACTGGAACCCGATCCTCATCTGATATGTAGTCACATGATGTCTGCTTTGTTTTGACAGCCTGGCATATTTTCCTACATGTATATTGATCGTTATAACTCACAATATATTTCGTCCATCCATTAACTAAATAAACAATGTATGACCTTTTGTCACATGACATTACAACCAATCAGAATCCAATGGTGGTAAGAAAAACTACTATCTGTCTTATTGGTTCATGTGTGTCAGTCATTTTCTATATTTTCTATTCTTCTATTGTACAGTTAATTCACACTTTTACACCTTTCGTACACCTTCGTACTTTTTCACTCACACTCTTGTGGGACAGTTAATTTTTCCCTTGTTGGGAAATACACATATCTTTGTGAACGTGGTGGTCTTCTGACTTTCCTCTTCACGTCAGGACAAATTAACTACTCAGCAATACTAGTCTGTACGTTATCGTCCATTATATCACATTAGCGCATATTTACACTCAGTCAGACCATAATATTGGCACCGACGCCATAACATATTGGCGACGAGTTCATAACATCATCATTTGTTGCTTCATTGTTAGTGCAAGGATTGAGATACTGCCCGGTCACCCAGAGAGAAGCAGGTGTCTTGAGAGACCATACCCCGACTCTTTGACTTAGAGCCGCATCCTCAAAGCAGCGGAGCAGCATCAACAGCTACGTTCCCTTGGTTGCCAGTGACCAATACAAGTTCGTAAGCTATTCAATCTCGTTTGGATTCTGGAGCCAATGTACCTCGTAGTAACTGCTTTTAGCTTATGCGCTTTCCAAAAAACCTTCCAGGCATGGTGGAATCTGTAGGATCATAAGTCCCAGCTAGTGTAGCCCTGTTGGATCACGGCGATATTCAAGCCTGACCACTACAACAAGGTAGCAGTTGTCAGCCGGGTATACCCCCACACCTGCTTTACCCCACAGGTCGTATTGCATTAAAAACGTTATGTGTGTATATTAGACTAGAGTCAGAGATGAGGATTCGACTTAACTCAATAGTGTATCATTATCACTGCAGGCACCAAAAGTTTCAGGATTTCCACTACGCCGTTTTACTGAGTGGTTATACAATTCGGCGACCATACAGTTATGCATCACATTTTCGTTTATCAAGATCAGTCAACCAAAATAGGCGGAAAATTGATCTGTGATAGGAACCACATGAAGAAATACCTATTTATCAAGTGTTAGCTTGCAAGGATTTCATTGGTTACAGGTTTCATCCCGAGATAACATCAGTTAGGGAACCAATGGAAAACCAGCTGGAAGTACCGGACAGTTGTTTCGTCCTAGTTTGCAAATGTCCCGTAGCACGCAATCGCCACAGGGGATTCGAACCTAGGACCTTCCGGTTACGGGGCGAGCTCGTAGATCATTAAGCCACTGGGAGGCGACCAGCGGATCCATGAATTCCAACTTCTGCCAGTTTCTGATACAGACTTAGCGCAACCGCCACACCTATATGGTACAAGAAATTGAATTTAATTGGTGGATGATAAGTAGCAGTGGAATCCAGGATGCACATTTCGTCCTATTTGGGACTCGTCAGCTGGATGTACCTGCAGACCCCAGTGAGTGATGATGTTCCCACCGAGGCTCGAACCCAGTGCCCATAGTTTCAAACGCCAAAGCGTTATCCACTAGACCACTTGGGCCACGAGAGCCACCTTTTGTGCAACGGGCCATATTAATTTAATGGATTTTTAGATTTTCCCGTCGATTGATTGAACCGAAGTGCTCGGTCTCAGGTTGATATTTCGGCTTTTTCGACGATGTCTTGGCATTTAGCTGGTGGATGGTGACTAGCAGTGGAATACAATCAAGATGCGTATTTCGTCCTATTTGGGACACGTCAGTTGAATGTACATGCCCAGACATCGTCGCAGCATCTGCACAAGAAGCCGACATGTCAACCTGAGACCGAGCACTTCGGTCCAATCAATCGACGGGAAAATCTAAAATTCAGTTAGACAACAAATTGAGTTTAGTTCAGAAGTATCCTAATTAAATGCACGGGACCAATCATCTCCAACTGTGTAGAACCAAACCATGGAGTCAATTAATAAAGTCTTTAACAGTTTGTTGGAGCCAGCCAGCCACCTAGATAGGTGTAGACTACTTCTGTCTAATTGGGGTCGTCGAGATTCTAAAAAGCAATGGTGATATCACTCAAAATTCTCCTCGATGTAATCGCCCATATTTAATAAAAGCCTATATGAAGTGTGGCAACTGGGAACACTGTGTTGTACTTCTCTATATGCAAAGTTCTAAGTTGAAACCAGCCAGCCAAGCACTGAACCACCACCACACAGAAAAACAAAATGTTAAAAAAAAAGAGAATAAAGCATACAAGAGAATTAAGAGGGTAGAAATTATAATAATAATAATCAATGAATTACCTGTCCTACAAACCATAGAAATTCAGACTTTTCCAAACAAATATTTTCGCCTTCAATACACGGCAGCATAGGATAACCCACCATTGGAATGGTATTCAGTTGACAACGAAACATACGTGCTGGATTCCTTTGAACTTGATACACTAAAGAGGTAGTTTTCTCAGGATTATTAGGCAAACAAAAATTGATTTGTAGCAATATTTGCTCTGTACAACAATCAGATAGAAAACAATCTTCAAGAGTTTTAGTTTTATTGAATTCTGTCAAAGTGTTTGATTCCTTAGCACTTTTATGAAATAGTAGATCAGCTTGTGTAGCTAAATAAACTGTATCTCGATCAACAGTTGGATAATTTCCTTTCAAATATGCTGAATTTATTGTGGACACTAAGTTGGATAGAAAGGCTGACACAGTCTCGTGAATTGGAAGCTTGAAACAGTAGCGTCTTTGTTTGCAATCTCCTCCTCCTCCTTGATTGTCGGTAGTAGCATCACCAATTGAATTTGAGACAATCGATGGGATAAATAATTCTGCATACAATTTTTTGCATTCTTGATTAGTAGTACCAGCAGTAGTAGTGGAAGGAGGAGGCGGAGGAGTAGTAGGCGTAGTCACTGGACTTACAAGAAGATATGGAAAGACAGGATTTGAAAGACCGCTGAGATTTCCTTGAGACTGATTCATATGCATATTTCTTTGAAAGTAATTTCTAAAAAAGTGATGACGATGGTGTCTTAACGAGAATCGTATCCACATTAAATAGGTTAAGAAAAAAATTGCACTAGGTCAGTGAGTCTAGTGAGAAATTGTCTAAAAATAAAAGGGTGAAGCAAACGGGTTGATTAGCTTTAATAACTTACTATACAATATATATATATATATATATATATATATATATATATATATATACATATATATATATTACATACACTTCATACAAATTTAAAATTTGCACAATTAACTCAATTTCAGTGAAGTGCATTCTCCGCTAAGAAATTCACGTGTGAAGAGGAATCCTAAAATAAGAATTAATTGCCTTCCAAGATGTCCTGCGTACAAGAAAACCAGATGGTAGTATAAAGAGAAATTTGCATATAGGAAAAGCACATGGACAGGACAATATACACATATTTTCATAGCTTCGTTCCTCTCCAGTACAAAAGAAATTTAATAAGAACCCTCAGCCACAGAGTTAGAGCTATATGCTTAGAAGAAGTAACTGAAGATGAATTAAGCATTGCATATGGTACCTTGGTGGAAAATAGCAATGCAGAAAAATCCATCAAGAAGCATATGACTAAGAAAGTTGGAAAGGACTATTCTCTATCTGTAAACAAACAAAGGGCGATATACCTAGCGAAATAATTACGAAGTTAAGAAAATCAGTTCAAAGATTTTTTAATGCTGGTAAACTACAAGTCTTATCTTCTACATGACCGACCAGTAGCGGTTCCTCAAATGAAAGATGAAGTACCCAGACTAGACTAGCCACTTCTCTAATTGTATCTACCAATTCAACTGCAATACGTAGATTTTTATGGTAGCAGGCCCAAAAATTCAAACAGGCCGCCAAGGTCATGTCGTCATGTCATGCACTTGTGGTGAAGCAAGTTATGTTGGCCGTTACCTTAGGAACTTGATTTTTCGCGCTCGCTTAGTAATACCTACCAGTGTGGTTAAATAGAGGTGTAGCAAAAACCATCAACAGTGCGATATTAGACCACCTGGTCAAAACCCACCACAAAGCCAGCCAGCAGTGAAGAATCCTTCTCCATCACCACCTATCGGGTGTCAAACAAATCCAGGTACCGCATACTCCAAACAGCAAAGGCTATCACGATTCGCCTGAAATAACCACAGCTTTGTGTTGTAGGAGAAACAGGTCCAGCCAGCCACCACTACTGCCCTGACCAGCCTTCAATAGAGACTATAAATTCATGAATTCGTACTGATATCTTTTCAAGTTTCTCTGATATGCATTCAGTGTATAGTGTCATGTTGATGCTTTGGAAGTGCAATCTATGGATATTATTATTATTATTGATTCGATGTTATTTAAACAATATTAATATGGCTAATAACACTAATTCGTTCACTATTATGGATGGATATATAACTGTAGAATCTGATGGAGAAGGCGTTAACGAAAAGAATATTATTTGTTCAGTAACCATTCTTTAAGAGATTAAAGTAAACATTTAGGCATAAATGTTTTATGACAATCAGTCTGATGGTGTACTGATAGTTTGCTGGACTAGACATTCAACATCCAACCAACAAGCCACAAGGTCAAACTGTCTGACTGACTAGTTTTCACAGATGTGCAGCAGTTCCAGTCACCACACTGCCTCCAATTACCACACAAAGCAAGAGAAGAGAGTAAACAGAGATTCAAATGAGAGAGATAATAAACAGAAGTGTGAGTAAGGGCAAAAAAACAATAGTAATATGAATGAACAACAGTGGAGTTTTATTGGATACAACAAATTCATACCGTCGTCCCACCCCTCCTACCTACTGAAGTATGGAATTAACCAAGTCGCGTTACCTCCATTGTCCAGAAATTCGTAATTATTTATTTTATTCCTTTGAGTTCCGAGTGGAACATGGGGCTTCAAGCGCGAGCTTCGAAGTTTCAGTAGCAATGGTTTTATTTTTACGCGGTGGAGGTTGCTAGTCTCACGCCCAACCTCCCCTCATTGCCGAGGTTACAATTGGCTGGAGTAAGTAAAGGCATGCGCCGGCGAGAAAACAAACCTCGAAACACGTACGTGGTTGGAGGGGATTCTACCGCTGAACCCATGACGCATAAATGTTTTCCAATTTACCAGTGTTTACCTATGATCTCGAGCATTACACAGTGACTAGCTCCGATTGATTTATCCAGGTGTGCATTGTTTAATTGAGTTTTTACCTATTTCTCTATAATCTGAAATTAGATAGAGATTTCTCTCATTTACAAAAATAAAGGCACATGATGAACTAGCCAGCCTTTGGAGAAAAATATGTGTAATCCATACCCGATTGATTATACACACACACGCACTAACTATGCACTTGTGAGTGAAATTCAGACTGAAGTCTTGTTACCAATTATGAGAGCTATACGCAGAGAGAAGTGTTATTGAGTTTAAGAATGAATACTTCGGGTTTTCACACCAGCAAGAAAATCCCGCTACATGACTTATCCACGACCGCGAGCAATTATTGTTACTGATTGGTTCTAACGCCCACCCACTACCCCCACTTCCATTGATATGCTACACACCTTCACTGACTGACTCGTTTCAACGTAGAACTTTGTACAGATGTGCAGTATCACTTCGAGTTGCTACACTCCCCCCATGTACCACACAAAGCAGGACAACAGAGTAAAAAGAAATTCAAAGAGAGATAATGAACAGATGTGTGAGGCAAAAAGAATAGTAATACAGAAGAATAGAATTTCATTAGATATCATAAATCACAAAGAGTGAATGCAACAGCACCACCCACTGAGAACGATATCAACAATTATCTCCAGCCTTCAATGGTGTTTATCATTCCGAGGACCCCAACCAGGCAGACAATCTGTAAGGCAGTCTACACCTCCCTACATGTGTGGCTAAGACTAACTGTTACGGATTTCATTGACTGATGAAGCCATGTTTAAGTTTGACCAACACTGGCTAACTCTTTTCCAACCTAATCCATCCTGTGTCAGTCATCTAACACGCCTGTCGGTCGAGGAATGTGATAGCTAGGCATGCATGCGTAACAAATGCCTTAATCATCCATCTCAATCGACGTGACTGCTTCACAATCTCATTGTCGATTGATTTCCCCTCCTCCTTCCCTACTTATCACTCGACCAATGCCTCACCTCAATATTGCTCACCCTATTATACCACTTCACATGGGAGATATAACGCAGACACCTATGATCAAAGACAGGTAGCCAGCAAGTCTTTTCATGTCTTCCACTCTCAATGGCCACATTTCACAGCCATAGAGGAGAACGAAGCGGACTGCTGAGCAGTACATGCGACCTTTGGTATATAGCCGGATATCACTTCTACGCCAGCGACGGCGTAAACTGGCATATACGAAACAAGACTTCTGTATCCGATCAGAGATTTCGTCAGCGATCAACTCGTCTACAAGCCAATTAACAAGTTCAAATAGTGGCTATCTTTCAAAAAGAATTTACATAATTCACTATGCACTGGGCTTAAAACGTCAGCTAACCATATTTTACCAATCCATGTACAGGACAGGAGAGTGACACATTGATATAGACTGGACGTAATGGTGGATTATCCATATAAAAGTTAGGAAAGTGGGATTCCATGGGTTTCAATAAATTAAAAACTTTTATAGTAATCCATATGAACTGTGGTCAAGATTTGATCGAACAGTTCCAAAATAATTGGGTGCCAAGTTACCTCGAAGCTCTTATTTTTTAAAATATGTAAAAATGCGAAGATGCAGATGAATCGAAACCTGTTGCTGAGAATTTGGTCAGTACTGTACTGGCGATTCCTTACCGCAAAGAAACATCGGATGAGATAAAGCGAATCCTTAACAATCATGAAATAAGAGTGGATTTTCGTGCAACTAACACCATACGCTCATCACTGGTGAAGGTTAAAGATAAAATAGGAGAAGACAACCAACAGAATTGTGTGTACCAGATGAATTGTGGGGATTGTGACACTGTATATGTAGGAGACACTTCCATACAGGTAAATAAATATAACAGTGAAGGGGCATAAACGATGGCTAAAGGTGATTCCAAAGACCTCTGCAGACTTAAAGAAGCTAGAAAACAGATCGACGATTGCACTACACACGATAGAAACGAGACACAAGACTGACTTTGATGATAAAACTAAGATTCTACAAAAAAGTTTTGGTTCGTATGAAGAAAGACTGACTGCAGAAGCCCTACATATATGGTTGAACAGACGTGAAGATATGATGTTAGCTGATGCATGGCAAATCCTGATTTATTAATGAAAATAGATATGTATCACTGGTCGATCACACATGATCTAAATTTCCGATTGTCTATATCCTCTTATGCAGAGGATAACAAATAATTTACAATTGTTTCCCCATAAACACATGCACACGCGCCATTATATACTTCATACACACATATTTTTTACATATTCACTTATCTACGACCATGAACTTCAGTCAAACGTATTCGCTAAAAATTCTGATGGAAAATTAGACTAATATTTGAAAGTCTGAGGTAAAATTTTGATCAAAGTTCATTCAATTTTGTTTATTATGCATTTTGATGCCTGTTTCATGACTCATATGATTGGACAAAGTTTTTAGAGACAAAAGATATCCTTTTGTAATATATAAAAACGTTTCTTATTTTAATTTCGATTAATTTCCCTGAAGAAGTTCGGACTAGTTCGCCGAACGCCAAAAACGTTGGAATTATTCAGTTCAATTTCAATGAGATTTTACAAATATAATTTTTATATTTTATAACAATCAATATCATATACAACCCAATGTGCAAATTTATTTCAAATTGTTAAAAAGTCAACTTGGTTAGGACAGATATAAATTAACATCCATGCCATGAAGTCTTACTAAATAGGATGTGTTACCTTTCCCTTGAAAGATAGACAATATTTGAACTTGTTGACTGGCTTGTAGACTGTACAGCCTTTTCGTCCCAGTTTAGGACTCTTCAGTGGTACTCACTCATCCTACTTGCAGAGACCATTCAGTCACTGTTCACTGGAACCCCATTTCAATTAGCAAACAATGAATCCCAACTTCTACCATTTCGTGATTTTTAGAGAAACCACCCGACCACCACCAGCAGCAAATATCATCGGCGAGTATTTGTCTTTATGCCCCACCACCAGCATCTAGTGTTCGACTACTTCACTGGTCATGACTTCTCACTAAAAAACTGGCTCCAGGCAAAAATTCATCCTGTAGCCAGCCAGCCAGCTAGTTAACTAGCCAGTACCAGACTAATTTTCCAGAGTGTTAATTAGCAGAGATTTGACTTGTTTCAAATTTCACCACGAGTTGACATCTACCTGGATGACAGTGAGTTAGAATAATGCTAAATCTGAATAGCATACAAGTTGTAAAAAAGTAAACAATCTTTATCGTTTAAATTATTATTGTTACACTAACGCGTCAAGAACAAGTGTGTCCACATCCTAAAATGCATCACATACAGACTGAACTTCTGAACAATACAGTCGACGGTATTTTTATACCAATTCAGAAGAAAAACATAGATCAGAAGTGTTAATTCCACTATGGATAAAATTTATTTTTGATAAAGTCTCATTGTGTTTGATATATACAGTAATATTTACTGATGATGACCACACGCTTCGAGCACAATTTATCATTGCTGCTCATCATCATCACATCAAAGTACTCACACAACTTTCCAACTTCGTTTATATGATTCCACTATTTCTCATCTCTTCATTTGATTGGTAGTAATATTTTCAATATTTCTGGTATGAGTGATGAGTCGCTTCTGTTGCACGTGTTGTGTTGGGCGTAGATTATTCGATGGACAAAGATTCAGTAAGTAATCAACCTCTTTCTATCTCTCTCCACCTACCTATATTACTTCTTAGAATTTTAACTCTCTCCCTCCCACCATGCTACTGTGTGCTTGTGTGTTAATACATGCAGTGCAATGTAGTGATGAGCTTTCTTCTTTCTACATTACTTATCTTCTCGGGAGTAAATTCTTATGTTCTCATAATCTCACTGCTCCTCATCTGTTAGTCTGATCTATGTAGGTAGTTGACCTAACTCACAGTCATTGCAAGGTATTTTGTAAATTATATTATTTCATCGAATTGGGTCAACCCGACAGGCTCCTTCAACCTACCTACAGAGCTTGTCCTACCTGAGTGAGCGAGTTTGTAGGTGTAAATGCCACCACCAACCTAATTCACGCTTTATTGAGAATCCCACGTAGGGAGGGTTTCATACGACACCTCCCTCCTTATAATGGCAAAACTGCTGAACATGCGTCATATCCTTTCTTATTTATGTAATCATTGACCTTTTCTGATCTTCTTAATGAATTCTATAGGATGGTTAGTTATTTAACACCAACCAGCCATTCTCCTATCTGTTTCATTCCATTATTTAAGTTTTTTGATATACCACTTAGTAATGTTGTTGCTCGGCTTGTTAGACACTTAACTAAGCCTGCCTTCACAAACAGATAACGAACGGATGAGATGAATTAAAGTCTAAATATCTATTAGCAGAATGCGTTGGCTTTTTATAAACGCAAATGTGCAGTTTACCTTCTTCTGTTCGTTTAATTTTACAATCTAACATCACAGCTAGTTCTCCTTGTTCATTTTCCGATTCAAATGTGAATTTTATTCCCTTTACTAGTGAGTTTATATGTGTAAAGAAGCAATAGGAATGACTCATCATCACTCATACCAGAAATATGGAAAATATTACTACTAATCATATCAAGAGGTGAGAAATACTGGAATCTTATAAACGAAGTTGGAAAGTTGTGTGAGTACTTTGATGTGATGACGATGAGCAGCAATAAATTGTGCTCGAAGCGTGTGTTCATCATCAGTAAATATGACTGTATAGCAAACACAATGAGACTTTATCAAAATAAATTTTTTCCACAATGGAATTATACTCTACCACAGTGCACAAGCGTTATCCTTATATGAATCAGAAGTATCAAAAGACAATGTTTGCGACAAGGCTGTTAGCATTTAGATATAACACACTATCCCCATATATATATATATATATATATATATCATGTATATATATATAAGCCGATAGTTTTGTGTTACAACTACACAGTGTTATCGCCGTTTTATTACTTTACACGGAGCACTGGAAGACTATTGCAATAAGCTTTCTCAAAGTTACAGGCATAAATTATTGGATAACCAAAATCCAATGGTTTCCTCACGACTGTGTCTTCCTAGCATTCTAGACATCATATAGACAGCATTGTGATTATAATAAGCGCCTGATACACAAGAATATACCTTAGGAATTGTTACCAGGATTTTGCAGTATTCCATAAGCATCTCTTCTTTTTGGGTAAATAAGATGGACCGACTGAACTCTGCACAGAAGTGCAATAGGGTACAATTTGCCAGATTTCATGCAACCACACACACACACACATGAAGGAAAACAAAAGAGACAAACCCCAAAAAGTGATTCGAAAGTGCCATAATGAGCAGAAATCTCAAGTAACATGGAAAGCACAATAGGGTTTTATTAGATATGGGAGATCAAAACGAGTGAACATATCCCACACCATACGCCAATGACAATGACTTCAAGTCATATCGCCAATTATCTCCAGCCATTGTTTCTTAGAATCCCGACAACTCCAACCAGACGAGTAGTCTACACCTCTCTGCATGGCTGGCTCAAACTAACTGTCATAGATTTCATCGACTAATTCCAACGAAGTTTCGGCCCAACCAACACTAGCCCTTTCCCAACTTGATTAATTCTATGGCAGCTAGGCATGCGTAACACATCTGCTAAGCATCTGAATCGATTGGCCTTCACATAGTCTCATCGCTTCACTTTCCCTCTCCTCCCCCCCCACATCTTACCTAACACTTCACGTCCAACCTCATTATTACTCACTGTATCATACCACTTAACACAAAAGATGGAGCACAGACACTTATGATCAAAGACAGCTAGCTAGCACGGCTTTTCATGTCTTCTAATTCCAATGGTCATTTCTCACAACCAACCATAAAGGAGGACAGAGAGACATCAATTGCAGTACACACGTCCTTTGATCGACAGTCACTCGGACACCACATATAGGCCAGAGATGGAGTAAGTTCACAAATTCCACACGAGGCTTTTGCATTTGTGGTGATAGATTTCGTCAGAAATCAGCACATTGGGATTGATGCAACTTCGCGAATACACGAAGTGGTCAACACTCTATACCACTACTTCACTCCACGGTCCTATAACATAAGGGCCAAATTACATCTCAAACATTCGAAGATTTCTGTTCAAGGCTAAGACTCTGCATGCTGATCAGCACCTTGATCAAGAACGACTAGTATCATCCGCATAATCAAAGCCAACAACAAGACTATTCGCTTCCAAAAACTCAGTCCCTAAGTGGCTGAAGTTAGTCACCGTCATACGTGGTTAGGCAAACAAATCTAGTACACTTGCCAGGACCAGCTTCCATAAACACTGATCAAGACACTAACTGCTCGAACTCATGCAGTCATCCAGCCAGATCAAAGCCTACGGAGAGTTGTCATCTAACAACTGCGGTGAAAACCAGTGGTGTCCGTTCTAATTTCTGTTTAATTTTATCATAAATGTACTAATGGACTCAACCCCTAACTGACTGCAACGATTCAGGGATTGACTTATTACCATCAGGGAATAATTTTGTTGACTTCGAATATGCAGACAATATAGTCCTTCTGGGTGAAGACGGTGACAATATGTAGTCTTCTAAACACCTTGAGGAGCAGTAATCTTCGAATGCTTGGCATGCGATACGAAAAGCCTTGGTAGCTGTCTTTGACCATGAATGCCTGAGTTCTATCTCCCATGTTAGGTTTTATAATATGAGGAATACTGGAGTGAGGCATCAGTCAAGTGCTAGATAAGGAAGGAGGAAGGAAAATCAGTCGACGAGGTTTCGAAGTTGCATCGATTGAGATGAATGGTTAGGACATGTGTGCATGCCTGACTGCCTAACCATCGCCTTCATCAACAACGGGAAATGTTAGCTGACTGACATAGGATCGACCAGGTTGGAAAAGAGTTAGCTAGTGGTAGTCAAAACAAAACATGGCTTAATCAGTCAATGAGATCCATGGAGACGACTGATGATATTGCTAAAAGTTGCTCTCGGTAGTTGTTGGTGCAGATACATTCACTCATTGCGATCTATAATATCAAATAAAATTCCATTGGTCTTCCATATTACTATTATTTTTGCCGCACTGTTTATCCTCTCTCTTTACTCTCTGCTCTTGCTTTGTGTGGTACCTGGAGGGAGTGTAGCGAATCAAAGTGCTGCTGCACATCTGTGCAAAGTTCTACGCTGAAACCAGTCAGTCAGTCCATAGAAACCGAGGGAAAGTGGATAAAAAAAATAATCCTAATAGTAATCTTCCTTTAGGAAAGACTTCAGACTGTTTGTAACACAATGTTGCATGCGTGTTGAACTGACTGCAGAATAGAACTTAAGAATTTTATCGCAGCTGATTCATCAAATACAAAAAAGCAACTATTCAAAGGAAATCTACATATCAGAATTTCAAACACAACGTAAAATAACAAAAAAATAAGATTGATAAACAAGCATATTATATGTATATATATTAGAGAGAAATACATAGGTATAAATAGGCATAATGAATTCAACTACACATTAAAAACCACAGTCTCTTATTAAAGACTGAGTGGTTGACTTTAAAAACATCAAGTGAAGGTTAAAAGCACCAGAGAACGAACGTGAGAAACAACAAAGTAAAAGTGCAAATAGAGATGAATGAGGAGGAGTTTAGTTGTCTGCGCCAACCAACTAATTCTACTAAAAACCTACTTCGCTTTATAATATAGAGAGTGGATAAAATCAATAATATTATATATATGTGTGTGAATACAATACGGATAAAAACGCATCGATATTATTATTTAAAAACGTTACTGATAGATAAAAGGTGAATAAAATGGGAATCTTTGTTTAGGAACTAAATATTCAATAAACTGGAGAAGTAAATGAAGCCAAAATAAACACATCACAGAAAACAAAAATATTAGTAATAATAATAATAATAATACAAGAAACAAATAAAATAATAATAATAATGATAAACTGGATAACTTCGAGGAAACAAAACAAAAAACTATTGAATAAAAGCTCATCTAAATTTACGACGTTTTGGTCTTCCACTCAAGTTGTCAGATAATTCACAACTTCCTGAGTTTAATGACTGTTGTGATAATGAATATATAGGAGAATCTGCTGATTTACGATTAGTTGGTAACAAAGATGGTACAGCTGATAAAATAGACGGTGGAGAGGATGAACGTGAAGGACTAGATGCTGAACGCGACTGTATACGAATTGTTGGTTTAATGCTTGACCGTGCAACACCCTCTACAGATGGCATATTTTCCAAAGATCCAGTAGAATTTATTTCTCTTGAAGGAACTGTTGGATAATCATCATCTATCCGAAAGGATTGCCGAGATGTAGGATTAGAAGAAGTATTAGTAGACGATGATGATGATGATGACGATGATAACCCACCAGGACTAGACCGTTGAGAAAGGGATCTTACAGGACCAGTACTAGATCCATCAGAGGAGACAGAAGGTGAAAATGCAGAGTGTGAACTGGAAACTAAGCTTGTAGTATTACTATCGCTTGTCAATGCACTAATTGAATTCAGAGTATTCGCCGTATTTGTGACAAAATGCATCACTGTATTGGTACGCCCAAGGGTTGATGAAGAATAGTTTGACATTGTGCAGAGAATCGGTTTTTGTGGTTGAAGAACAGATATATGACTAGAAGATACATACTCCGTTCCAGAGACAGTTCCAGTCTAAAAATGAATACAAGACATAAAACAACACAACAGTAAAACCCTAGTTTAATTATTACTGAAACTTAAATCCAGTAATAATTAGGAATCTTTGCACAAATGATAAGAGCTCATAGGTGAATTATGAATTCGTAATCTTCATTAACTACACATTATTCCTCTGTTAGATGACGGTCAGAGAATGTTCATGTACCCATCTAACACTTGTGCAGAGGTGTAAGGTTGGTTAGGCTTCAGACAGGAAAAATATAGCTGGGTAATCAGTCAATGAACCGATAGAATGTGACGAAATTAAAAAACCTAACTAACCATAGGAGATATTTTACTAGATGAGATTTAATAGTTCACTGTTATTAGTTTTCAAACCATGCCAAATAGCATACAAGTTCACAGAGCGACAGAGAACATTCCCCATACCACCTTGATAGTTGTCAGATCTAAAATGCAAAAAGTATTTATGTCCGTCCGCCTATCTATTGACCAATTGTTTTAGAAAAAGCAGCAGATGAATAAAAGTAATGTAATAATAATACCGAAAAAAAGTGACCTGTTTGCCGAAAACTTGAAAGACACAAAAAACACGAAGTTGAGACACAAAGGGAGTAGTAATAGTAGTAGAAATAATCTCACCTAGCTAATCCACGAAATCATACTTTAGGGTGAGTGATTCATAACTCTGGGAAGCTAAGTAAGGTGGTACAACACAACACAGTATGACAGCAAGAAAGGCAGCAACATGAGGAAGCTAGAAGAGCACTGGGTATTCCACGCACATACACACACACGCACACAAACCAACCGTTCATCTTTCTGTACCTTATTCTTGAAATTTACTGAGTCTGTTACAGTTTTATTATATTATTCGAGTGATAATAACAACCCGTATTGTGAGTTACAATTCAGACTAAGCAAAACTCTTATTCCATACAATGCCATACTTACGCATTCCGTGGACGCAGATGACTGAAGCACATCTTGTGACACACAACGATACATTGGGACACCTGATGGATTCGGTGAAATCAAACGAAGTGCGACGTTACTAGTCAGACAAGTAGTGTTAGTAGTAGCAGAAGAGATTGGTGTTGGGGTGCTGCACGCTTCCTCACCATCCATTCGTTGAACTAAACGCTGCAGCTCTTGAACCTAAAAAATTTGAAAATACGATGAAAATAATATGGCATCAAATACACATACATAAACACCACACACACACACAAATTTGTAATAAATGAAAGAGCTTAGTTTGAGTACTTGATCGCACACCGCCAAAAACTGATGCTACTCATTAATAACTTAATGAAACTCAGTAAACCTGCAGAAATATAGCCAATAGCAGGTGAATAACACACCGTCACTTTTCAAATTGCTTTGGTCAACCAGCATCCATAATCAAAATTATCCATGTGAGCTACAAAATCGGATGAATTCTTCGGGGTTTTTTCCCAGAAAACACAAATGATTCTATAGCTCAAGACGGAGGAGAGATAAACACCATAAATTCAAAATCATTTCAACATTAACTTACACGTGAATCTAATATATCATTTTGGCGTTTAAGTGTTTCAACGCAAACGGTATGATCACGATTCAATTTAACTAGTTCTTCAATACATTCAACTGCTCGTTGCAATATAACTGCTCTGGACGCTTTTGATCCTCGAAGGCCTGGTATCACTTCACGCAGATCGTTATAACTTGTTTTTATGCTGGCGCGTCTCTTACGCTCAAGTTGGTTGTGGTGATCCCGTCTAAAATTAGATTTAGGGTAGTAAAAACTCTTCGTTAGACTAACCAAAAGGAAAATTTTGGCGAAATACTGAGCTGAGAATAGTCTACAATTATTAATAGACTACGCAAGAAACATTAAAGCCTGGAATAGTTAATAATAATTGTTGGAATGATAAGTAAACTAATTGTTTCGCAAGATTGTGGAGGGTGAAAGTCACATTATTATTTTATTACTGTTTCCTTAGGTTTCTAGAGGGACATAAGGCTTCACAGCAGCACATCCCCATTGTCTCATTCACTGCGCTACTCTCTTCAGCTGACCTCACGATTGCCCATACGCTCTCATCGCTTCACACGATATTTTCCATGTCCACCTCAGACGGCCATATCGTCGTTTCCCGTTCGGTTTCCACTCAAAGGCCTCGTGGACGATGTCATCTGACAGCTTCTGCAGCGTATGTTAGACCCATCTCCATTTTCTTCGGCATATTTGTTTGAGCAATGAGTTTCTTGCTGCTAATTACTTCTGGCTGGTTATCAGTTCTTTAGTATGGAGCCAAAGAAGACAACTGTTGATAAAAAGTCTACAGTAACCTGTTAGAAATGCTTTTCGTGACGCATGCGACAAGCTCCTGATCCAAACAGAACTGACTGACATTTGTGTTGAAACTCAGAATCTAGTGAAACTACACTTGAGGCTATGAGTCGCATACACTCAAGTCGACAAGCTTAAGCTCCATACAGTGAAAAGTGAGGAAATTATATCACCGATAACTTGAAAAGATATATCACTTCAAAGAAACTAAGCATAAAATGTGACAAATGAAACAGTGAGAAAAGTTAAACTCTGAGTCACATTACCAGCTGATGTTTAGTGTACCAGCAATGCGTAGAAACACTGAGTGTAACTACAGAGTCCGATAACGGTCAACTGAAAAACATATATAATATATTACAATCGTCAAACTACCATCTGTGGCACCTGTTAACACGAACAACACTGCTGTAAGTTTTCAGTGGGGAGAATATGTGAGACAATCAGAAAATTTTTAGAACATGCGTGGACCGACTACGGATCATTTCGTCTACATACATGTCTTAATAAAAATAAAAAGTTCTTCAAATACCTGACTACTGATAAGATGAAGTCTATATTAATGGGTATAAATATTCATTCTCGGAGCGCCTGGCATCATTTCAAAACCGTTGAAAAAATAGTGGTAAAAGATATTGATAACCTGCAGGCGAATTCCGCTATCCTTATCTTAAATGATTAGTGCAGGTTACGAACATGAAACGGAAAACTGTTGACTAAAAGTCTTCACAACCACTGAGAACAATGACAGGTGATGAAAACAAAGCAAATAAGAAAGGCATGAGTACACACTGTCTGGGTTTATTAGGGAAAGAGGCTCTACAAAATATTTGAAGAGAATTATCTCCGAGGATTGGACTTCATTAACTTCTCAGGACAAAGTGTTTATCGAACTTACACCTAACACGCGCAGTAGAAATGACTCAACGCCAATACCAGAAATAAGGAAAATAATATTAATGAAATTAAAGGATAATTATAGGGATTATATGAATGGAGTTGGGGAGTTATGTGAGTGCCTTGCGACAATTATAGGCAGTAATATTATTTTCGAAACGTCATCAGTAAATATTACGGTAAAATTGATTTTATTAAATAAATTTACTCTATGACCGTTAAACTCTACCACAACGCCCAAGTTCTATACTCATACTAAATGTCATCAAGCACTTAAACTTGGAAAAATACAATCCAGTGTTATTCTGGGGGGAAACTAGTGAAATAAGAAGGAAATGACGAATCCATACCAATTAAGCCCTATGAGAGGTATCTACTGCTACTAACAGACATATACATTGCAGCATCCCGAACAGTACTCACAGAAAGATAAACTTCAGACTTGCGAATGGAAAAATTGACCAGTACAACTCATTCGAATACTGAATGGACGCTAGTAACTAGGCAAGATTATCACTTAAATATATGTTGAGAACTTTACAAATCATTCAAAAGTAATCCCACCCTGTAATTCTGACGTAATATTTTCTGCACAGGAGCGTTTAATACAATTATCAACTCGTAATGATAACTCCGGCTGTCAAAAACACGTTGAGGCTACTTGGAATGACTAAAACCGAAAACGTAAAATGTCTCAAATAACTCTCAGTTTAGCGTGAAACGAATCCTAATAATTTCGCTTAATATCTTGTCAATTAACGGACAAACACAACCCAGGATTTCTTCAATAGGTGAGTGGCTACATTTTACGATGCCTAAACTAAAATAAAGTACGACCGAATAGTCTCACAGATGAGGAAGCGTAGATGGCTTAGCGCATTGTATTTGGTTCTGTCTCCCTACGAAGGCTGGCACATAACCATTCTTCTTTACTAGTCTAATAATCAAACTCCGGACATATGCACATTAGAATCATTGTGATCACAATTTATAAATCTGTAAACAACGAGGACAAGTGCTTACCGATTATCTTCGCCAGTCTCGACATTATACATAGCACCACCTTCACTAATTGAGCGTTGACGCCGCATATCTGAACCTTTGCTTTCGGTGCCAGTGTTACCGAAACTATGACTTCCGAATCCAGATGACCCAGGTATGTCGTCATCATCATAGTCGCTAAGCCCTTCGTAACCGTCAACGTCATCGTCATCTAAGTCTTCGTCATCCACATCCTCTTCGAAATGCTCTTCATGCATGGCTTTCTCAGCATATGAATTTAGGCACCGAGCCATCGCTGTTGCTCCTCAGGCGTCAAATTTCTGCAACAAGTCTAAAATCATTTTCCTCAGCAGAGCCTCAAGCAAACCACGAGCCGCCAGAGTAAACAAAGGCACTAGTCAAGGTCAGAGTCCATCTTTGACTCGTACAACCTTAGACTTTGTGAGGGTTGTTTTAAACAAGCAGTCTCGAGAATACGCCCCGTTTTACGCGTTTAACTGTTGCTTAATTGGCTGAACGGCTTACTTTCTGTAAATGCTTATTGGATTAGGCAGTTATCGCACTTCATATACTCGTAATAACTGAGCTACGTATACACTGAGCGAATGTTCAGATTTAGATTCAGATTTATGGCTTGAGGATCGAAAGCCTGGAGCCTATGTTAATCCTTTTCTAGTAAATTTCTGTGGTTGTGCAAACCCTCCTTGAATAAATCAGTTGAGGTTACAACCACCACTTCTTATGGGAGTTGGTTCCAAGAGCCTATGACTCGGTGTGAGAACCAGTACTCAACAGCAGTATGATTTCTTCTTGGCTTTTGAACTCTCCTGCTATGTTCTCTAAGGTGTTCCGACCTGGTGGGAAGAAAAAGAGAAAACAGGCCAGGTCCGTAGTCACTATTTAAAATTTTTAAATGTTGTGATTAAATCTCCTCTCTCCCTACGATATAGTTGGGGGGAGAGATTTAAACTGTCTAGTCTCTCCTCGTATGATAAATTAGTCACGTCGAGAATCACACGTGTTGCTTTTCTTTGAGCCCTTTCTAGAATACGTGCATCCGCTTTAAGACGAGGACTGGCTGGTTACCGGCATACAGTTTTCCAGTCTTGACCTCACCAGAGAGAGGTGTATATAAGAAGGTGAACATATTCCTGGTGTTTCTAGTAGGGTCTCTGCGAATTCCCATAAGGATCTGAAACTACGTGTATAGGACCATAGGGGACTCGGTGAGCAGAGATAACTCATTGATATACAAAATAAATAAAAGAGACCTAAGTACCGTGCCTTGTGGGACTTCACCACGCACTGCTATCCAGGAGGAGAGTTTCAAGTTGATTCTGATCCTCTGCCTCCTATCTATGAGGAATTCCCCAATCCAAATTAGTAAGCTGCAGATGATTCCAAGACTTTCCAGCTTCATGAATTTTCTTTTGTGAGGAACTTGATCGAAGGCTTTGCTGAAGTCTATGAATTCGACGCCAACGGGTCTTCTCTTGTCCCTCGATTTGACTCAGCTTTCTCTTGCAGTGAGATTTGGCAAGCATGAGAGGTTTCCTTGGAAGCCATGCTGTGCTCTGGATAACAAGTTGTTGTTTTTCAGATATGCTATGATAGCCTTCTTGGTGATTCTTTCCAGTGTCTCGATTAAGGTGCTGGTGAAACTAATAGGCCTGTAGTTTGAAGTGCATTGTGGACGGGGGTTCCTATAGCGTCTTCCCACACACACGCTAACACTCCATTCAGGAGATATGGCTTGAAGATCATGGTCAGTGGGCCGACTATGTGAGCTGATAGCTCCTTGAGAAGACTGTCAATGTAGCTGAAGAATGAACGATCAATTCATGGTTGTTTACTCAAAACCAACCCCATATTTTGGCGGGAGTCACCGATACTGCAGTCATCGTTCCGTCGTACGCTGTTCGTTAGAAGAGGGAGAAATACTATCAGAAGTATTTTATCAATTTGTGTATAATAACCTTATTGTTGGTTCCATATTGGTGCAAGAATAAAGGATTCTCGAGTCACCAATTTGTGTTCTGTTTTCCGCGTTAGTTATTGCACATTGCTGCTGAAAGTCTCTTAAGGACAGCGTTAAGTCCGGTGTAGTTAGACCTGGACATTGACGAAGACTTGGATTGAGATTGGCAGGACCCACTGATTTCCCTGCATCTGGCAGCCGAGCACGATTTCTTGGTCGACGTCAACGGAGTCTATCATGTGCCCCTCTGGTGCAGCCAGCGCTGATCCTATGGGAAGTGACGACCCTTGTGTAAAGACTTGGGAGAAGAAGTATGCCATTTCCCCTGATTTTCGATCTTCGATTTATTAAAGGAAAGCAATGTTTCCAGCCCTTTGGGACAGACCAGGGGATGAAAGGTTTAGTTACTTGGGCATCAAGTTGTTTAAACTGGTTCCATTTGGCTTCTGCTCGGGACTCTGCGTTTATGTATCAGTTCGCTGAGTTGGAAGCCGAGACGATCTGATTTATATCAGCTTTCTAAACATTTGGTCGAGCTGGGGTTTCGGCCCATGACACTGCTGCTGTGAACCTGAAAGGGAACACAGCGTGATCTCACCATAGGAGAACACTAGGTGCAGAGTTTAAGAGGAGTGCTGTGAGTCATAGCGCGTGGGCTTGGTGACATTTTGGACTAGGGTAAGCGAAATGCTAGATTCCAGCAGTTTATAATCAAAGGAGTTGTCTGAAGATGGTATTGTAAGGCTTTTCTAGTCAGCTGTTGGGGCATTGAAGTCGCCGACTAAGAGACTTCGATAGCTCAATTTCCAGGAGTCTTGCCTCTCTATTGAGAAGTCGTCTGCACTGTAGTTAGGACTGTGGTGTATCGTAATTAGGTCATTATCTTCGCCTATGCATTTAGGTCTGCAGTGTAGAAGTTCGCACGATTCACTTTTGTGAGCGAGGGCTTCGATGTTACGCGTGGTTAGGCAATTTTTGACGTAGATGACTACATCAGCTCCTTTGCAGTCTAGTTGGTTCATCGTATGCACTTCGAAGTTTGGCAAGTTAACTTCGTTATCATTGACATCGGGTGTGAACCATGTCTCTGTGATGATAACTACATCCGGATTTCCGGAGTCTATCATATTACCCAGCTCAGTCCGTTTGTTCAACAGGCTGTGGGCATTTGTGTAGCAAACTGTCAATTCAGTTTGGTGCTTCCGCGGCCTACCCACAGAGGTCTCGGGATCAACAAACTTCGAACTCTGACGGCCCGGAAACCCTTAATCTTGGGGGTTTTTCCTCAGTTTCGTGTCGTTCGCTTGATTCTAGGGCCACAGACTGTCTTTTGTGGCTGTCTGCTAGGCATAATTCGGCACGAGCGTATATGTCTGATCATTTAGGAGTTTTAGAGTTGCTTATAATGGTACACCTCTCTTCTTCGGAGTTTAGTACGATTTTGAGAAGGTGTGCCGGCTGATTTACTGTCTACTCAGGCTTTTGGCCGATTTTTCATCATCCGTGTGTGGTTATGCCTGATACTGTTATTGGCAGTGGTTTATCTAGGGGGGCTTGACCAAATTAAGGTCATGCTCGAACCTGGCCTTGGGATCGGGGACCGGTGATTCTTCCATATTGTGGAGAATTAGTGACATGACAGAGACATCAGGTCTGCGTACCATGGCTTTCTTGCTCTGCATCCTGAGTGTCTTTCAATCCTTCGTGGATAGTGTGGACATTATGTTGTTCTTAATTCGCTTTTAACGAGAGATAATATAATGCAATTCATTGATGTCTTCCTCGCTAACCGTGATCGGTTCCGTCTTCCTGCTATCCACCGGTGTGGATGGGGCTCGATCTATAAGTCAGTTGTCAGTTCCAATATCGAATGTCGTTTTCGCGAGCTAGAGTGAACCAAATTGATTTCTGTGCACTAGATTCTTGGTTTTAAGGAAAAGGCTCCTCATATTCGGAGACACCTGCGTAGTTGAACCCGCCACTCGACTGCTGTACCTTTGATTGACTCCAACGAGAGTGTCTCGGGAATTGGTTATATGTGGTTCACAGTATGCGGTGTTTTAAGGGCTTATTGCTGCGATGAAGCGAGTTGATTCTTTCGCCTGTTAGTCGTCCGGTATGATCGGAAAGAACGATAATAGTAGTAATAATAATAGATATGATCAGTGTAGACTTAGAATGAGAACATAAAACCAGATAAATAAGGAAGTTTAATAAACAAAAAAGCAGTAATCCAATAGCTTTCAATAATTTAACCATATATATGTTAAATCATGAAAATACTGTATCCATAACTCGATACCGGACAAAACTGCGATCACGTTTTTTCAAAATACAGTACAGTGCATTATGGAACGAACTTCCACTTACTTTACGTAGTTGCCGATCTCCTACTGAATTCCAGCGTCTCCTAAACGAGTTCTTGTCAACAAAAGAGCTTTGATCTACTTATCCATACTTTGCCCATATAGGCTGTTCGTCTAACTTTGTTACTACAGACCCCAGTGCAATACCCCGAATTTGAGGAGACTCATTTGCCCCAGCAACCATACCGCACCTATAAAGTGATAAAACCAACCCAATTTCTCCCACATGCCTTGATCTAAGGTTCGGTTATTCAGCTTATTGGAGATCTTATCAATATTTCATCACTCGGGTTTATAAACTCATAAGACTATCTATAATTATCCCGGACGTATAATCCCAAATTAGTTGTGATAGTTCTTCCATAATATAAGCAAACTGGTACTTTGTAATGTCTAAAGCATGCCATATGAAAAGTGGCCAGGAAAACCTAGCAATAACAAACTCAGCCAACCAACCATTTTCCCTAAGTTCATTCAACCTAACCTTATCCTTAATCATACCACTATCCACTACACTCTACTCCGTAGATTATGACTTAATTTGCTCCAGTACTGAAAACTCTTCTACCTTTTACTTTTAAAGATGTTTTAACTACTAACTGCGCAGTAACCGTTTAACTAACTCACTGGTTTTCTCTTCACTGTAATCTTCAATAAGTTCGTCAGTATAATTATTTCCATAAACAATTACATTAGCAACCATATCTTTTAATATTTCACATATATACTTATATTATTATACTAATTTTGAGTTGAAATGACTATCTTCAGTCAACACTTACCCATTTTCATATAATTTTCTAAAAAAATTCATAATGTTAAAATTATGTAGTATTTTTCCATTATATAATTGATGAGTCACTTTGCAATGTGTAACGCACACCATATAAAATCAGTCGTGAAAATTTAGCATAACAAGTTCTGCTAACCAGTTGCCTTACTCAGGACCACTTTACATAACTTTATCACTAATTGTTCCACTACTCATATCACTCTGATAAAGAGAATATAACTTAGTTGCTGTAATATTAGCTATTTTTATAATTCATAACTCTTAAGGGATACCCAATTTCTTAGTCTTTTGTAGTAACCACTTGTTCACTAGTATGATGATAATACTGCTAACAATGTCCTCTGGTATTATTGTGCCATGTGACCTAATGGGAAGCACTTGT